CTCTTGGATCATAGAGGAGCTATCCTTGTTCTCACATTTCTGCAAGTTCTGCAAAAATTGATTGAAGTTTCCCCAGAACCGAGCATGTCTTTGTTATAGAAGGCCCTGCATAACTATTCCCAAGATTATATAGTAACAGCATTTCGAGAAATACAGAGGCAATCGATATAATGTGCTATGGTTAGATTTTAAGTCGTTAATAGCAATTAAACTCCACTCAAGAAAGCATAGATGTCATGGCTCTATGAAGAACGTGTACGAAGAACAGATTAATGATTATATGATTTATGTGATTTGAGACATTAAATCAATCACACATGCACATTGAAGTTAGAGTCAATAGAATGATGTCAGTAAAACTCGATCCTCGATTCATGAGTCCATCTCAACCTCGAAGAATCGACTGAGTGGATTAGGGAATATCACGAAAACGTGCATGTATGATGTTTTCAAATAATTCATGTGATATACTATTTATTCACGGAGATGGTATCCAAAGAACATGTAAATTTCAAGGAGATAACAACACTTATCTTTCTTTTCGAGCAGGTCATTGCCCCTCAGAATGGGTTGCTTCGTGATTCGAGAAGGATGCTCCTCGAATTGTCTTATTGTAAGACCTGCAAAACCAAGTAGTACAACTGCGCCACTCTCAGGCAGGTTACTCTTTTCAAATCAGTCGAGGGGATTGTCTCCACCCTTGTCATAGTGCTAAACTATGTGATCACGAGCGTATGCGCCCTCGGTCTCCCGAAAAATTAAGCTATGCTTGCATAGCTGTCATTTAGCCTCTGCCTCGTGCAATTTCATAGGAGTGTGTGTTCCAGGTTGAGCTACCGAAACAACCGTGTAGCCTTGTACTCAAGTCTCGAGGAAGCCGGGTCCCCCGTCGAGGAGATGTGACCTTTGAGATATCAGGTCGCTCCTGGCTGTAAGGTTAAGACTTGTATGAAAAACAATGAAACCATTAGAGGCGGGGATGAGAAATAATATCCAAATGAACTGAATAATAAATTTTGCTTAGTTAAAAAGAATTTTGTCCAAGGATGTCCTTTGATGGTCCAGGAGTTATTCTTGTCGAGCAGCTGTGGCTGCTTGAATTCCTACCATAACTTGGAGGCTTCGTAACCCTCACTGGCTAATTTGCTTCTCGGTCCTGCTTGAGTTGAGGAGGTTGTGTAATCTCTCGAACCAAATTTGATGGATAGTATTTTCTTTAGTCAACCATAAGCTCAAAAGATTTTATCGTAAAAAATCAAGGATGGGAAGAATAGAACAGTGATGCTCAAACATAGAATTAAAAAATCTACGTCAATAGGTGCAACATGTAAATAAGATCCTCGGGTAACCACGATCCATGGCATGGAATCAAAATGAATCCACACGAGGTAATAAAACAGTGACATTTAATTTGTCAGGACACAACTATATGCGTATATTAAAAGTATCAGGCTATACATGTTGCTAGCAGGAATCTTCAAAATGATGATTTTGAATTTTAATTTGAATAATAGAAGAGAGACCAGTCATTATATTTCCCCAAGAATATCTCCAATCAGATAAAGGTATGCAAGTATGATTAAATGAGATATCCTACCCTTGGAAATTTTTACAGCCAAGTTAACGTGGATGCACTCGAGGAACATGGGAGAGAGGAAGTATCCATTTATATTATTTTCATGGAATAAAGGCTATGAAATCCAACCTTGACCTTACTTCTGACAAGAAAATTATGTCATAATAATATGGGGTGTACGAGTCCAAGAAAATTGGATAGGCTAGTCCATGGTTAATTAGTGCTAAATTCTTGCTCTCGACAGAATAACCAAAAACATTTAATAGTCATGTGAGGCTTGTCCAACTAAAGCCCTGATTGTGCACGTAGATCACCCAAAACAAATAGCACATAGTTTTTATAATTTTAAGCAATAGCATAGCATAGTATAGCTATAAAGAATATTTGATGGTCAGACCGCGTAATTGATCCAGGAAGACACCACAAAAAATTGGTAATTCTTCTCCAAAAAACAAAACATGAAGTGCGTACATGCTTGCACTATGGGTGATTTTGGTTAATTAATTATTAAGGTTTGTCCAATTCCTCGTAAATAAAAACGGCATGATGTTTTAAGCATGCATTGGTAATAAAGAGCTCTTGAGATCAACGTTCATGTAAATTAAATTAAAAGAAACCTGGCAGCCATATTCGGCTATGTGCATTTAGTGAACCATGATTCGATTCGCTTTCCTTCGTGGACCAGGTTTGGCAGAATATGTGCTTGCTATGACGGCATGTCATTCGCCGATCAATGAGCTGAATCTTGTTGTATAAAGCGGGATACTTCGCCTTTGTTGGGAGGGGGAGAAACGCTAGCGGGTACTGGATGTGTGATCCAGTAGGTGTTCGATGTTATGAACACCACCGAGTTGAGAAAAGGCTTATCGAGCAAGCTGCATTTCCTGAAAACAAAGCTAAGTACTAGCAGGCTAAAGCCATATTATATCATTAGTTCTTTCTCGACATAGAAGCATAATAGAGCTCCCCTCGATGTAGAAGGGTAATAGAGCTCCCCTCGATGTAGAAGGAGCTATTGCCTGCAAGATCGATACGCCGAGATTCATTAGCATTCCCTTCGAAAACCCGAGTTAATAGAAAGCCCTCGATCCAAGAGCATATGGCCGTCTCCTTATAATTTGGCCAAACTGATGCCGTATTGAGATGGATCTTAGAAGAACGTTTGCCGCCCTTTGTCATCCGCAATTGCACCGTCTAAATTTCATGGTTAATAACTGGATGTTTGGACTTGCCACATCTTCGTGCGTGGGATTATGGCTCTGCTTCATGTTCGATCACCCATGAAGTTTGATTGAAAGGAGACGTTCGATGTCGTCGACTCCTTTGTAAGAAAAATTGTTGAGAAGGGAACCCTAATCGCACAAATTATTGCGATGACCCGTATTTCTTAAGACTCATGTGCCAAGAGTCCATCAAAGATATATGAATATCTAGTATGCATGCCAGTTGCCACCGTGAGTGCTGAGGCATCACGTATTACATGTATTTGCATCACAAACAAGATATTAATTAATCATGCATTTGGTGTGTTGTAATCATGGTAAATAATCAAATACAGACCAGATGATTGGTAATTAACAGTTTTTAACCTCTCATTCGAGCAAAACATGTTAAATTTCAACAACACTACGACGTGGATCACGTATCAAGTGGATTTGAAGTAATCTCTGATCTCCAGATTTCATAACAAGTAATATTAGTAGGAACGAAAAACCTGGATGCTTTGAGTTTTTCGAAGCTTATGAACGTGATTCTGTCCAAGGAAAAATCCCGGCCGCCAACACCTTCGTCAGAAAATTGTGTTGAAGGAAACCCTAGTCGGGTCCCACTGGGCGTGCCACTTGACGAAGCATAGATTTGCTCCGATATCTCCAGTGGATTGAACCGGCGGCCATGGCGGCTATGAAACCCTAAAACCTGCAAGACAGAGCCTCGGGGTCTTCCGAGGGTAGACACTCCGATGCTTAAGTCAGTAAGAGTATTCGTAAGAGAGGTATGAAGTTGGGGTGCATAGACCGTACCTTTGATATGAGGGGTTGATCCCTATTTATAGAACTAGGTTATAAAACTCTTTCTTGGTAGGAAAGTAATTAGGAACCGATCTAGAAGCTTCCGGAGGCCGTTGAACCTTTTACCGAACTTGGACCGGCCTAGTTGCGGGCCGTACTAATTTGGACTCGTCAGTGTAATTTATTTCAAACTCATAAGGTCAAATTCTTGAGGATTCCTTAGAATAATGTAAAGCTACTTATAAACTTCTCAAAGGTTCATCAAATCCAGCCTTGTGACCGTTGTTGTGTAGCTGTTAATGATGTGGGAGAAGCAAGAGAAAGCAGCTGAAAATGATGGAGCTGCCCTGGTGGACCTATAGGCAAACCAGTCTTTACAGCAGGGCAATGTATTCATTGAAAAATCTCAGGCAAGCAATAGATTTCGATGCAGCAGTAAAGGCAACCATGAAATATTTGAAAAAAACCTAGTGTTGGGAGTTTTAGCACTTTGCATGGAACAGACATGCCATCTGGAATTTTTGTCAGTCAGAGACTGAGATCAAATGGACCAAACATTAATTCAGTGTGCAGAACAAAGTGATAAGCAAGATCGAAAGGCCGAGCTACTTACTCCAATTTGATAAGGCCCATAGGGTACCTGGAAATGGACATAGTTACGGGGGTTGTTTTGCTTAGAATCTTTACAACCCGTTTTCCTGTAGAAGACGGCTTTGGTGAAGGTGTGGATTTGGTAAAGTGGATTCGTTCTGCACCAATTAGTCTCAATCAACTGCGGTTAAATTTTAAAAAATAATGTCAGAGGATATAATTCAGCACTCAATTTGTGGAGACACCACAACTCTCTTTTCGCCATTGGAGAAAGTGAAGTATTCTATATGTTAGTGGTCTGGCTGCTGTAGATAACCTTCTATTTCCTGTTTTCCTTGTCAAAAAGGCTTCAGACAAAAGCTCAGCTCATACTCCCTCCACTGAGAAAAACATCAGAGAGATTGGATGGGGGATGAAACAAAACTGGCCCTTGGTTAGATTTGTGCTTATATTAATCTGAACATGATTGAAAGTTTTGTTCAGAAATGCTGAAGCTTTTGATGTTCTTAGTCATGGAGGAGATCAGGAGATAGATAGTTTTCATTTCTGTCAAGCAAGCTTTGTGTTTGCGTGGAGTAGATACATTCTCGCTTCTCATATGTACATGAGAATATGGAACTTCTAAACTCCAACAACTCTTGTGTCAAAGTTTAATGAAGTACTCTCTTTCCCAAAATTATTGCCCAGTTTAAGATATCACTTTTAGTACAATTTGAACTAAAAATGAAAACCCAAACTGGACAATAATTATGGGACGGAGGGAGTAATTAGTTTGCAAATTAAGGAGTGAATCATTACAATATAAAAAGAACATGAAGATATTCATTGAGTACATTGCTGGAAATTCACAATAGGGAGCCTTACCCTTTCTTATACAGTAAACCAAAACATTTATCAATGTTTAACTTGAAGCACTGAACACACAGTCTGCACTACAGTGAGAACAAGCAATACAGCAGCTGCGATAACAGAGATGATTGACCATGGTGTGTTGAAATAATCTCGTTCTAATATTGAAAACCACTTCCTAACAGTTGATACGATCATGTGCCACCAGTCCCGACTGTAGTCATTTAGTTGACGACATTGCTCCATAAAATAAAACTCCCTCGGATCTGTCACAAACTCTTTGTAAAGATTGTTGAAAAGATCTGCCACTTGCTCACTACTACCCAATTCATTCCGGATGATGTTATATTTGATGAGAAGATCAACATCTTTGTGAGTGTTTACTAAGTTGTCCATCAGGATTACATAGCTTGTCATAAATTTTGAATGGTAACCAGACTGTTCAAAAGCTATTAGATTCCGTAGAAATGTCTCAGTGGAATCATTTACTACTAGTGGTGGAATCCTCAGTACTCCCTTCTTGCTGTCGAAACCTACATTCAAGAGATGTTTTCCTTTTCCTCGTTGAAACCTGACACCAGAAGCTCTCAGTTCTGTTGCAGTTGGGCACAGAGCGAAATTTGATTTCATTATTCCAACTTGTTGCCTGACACTGTTTGCATCCCAATTCTGTTCAGTTGGCATATGTAGGATAGATAAGAATTCAATGAAATGCCTTGCGCCGCGAAAATCACGAGGCAGCAACAGCTTTCCAGTTACACCCACGTTGCTGAAGTACTTATATGCTAGTTCATTGAATGATGGAGGATTGATAATGTCATAATCTAACCGTCTTCCAGCATCCTTAAAAACAAATGTATCATACAGTGTGGTCAAAAACCTTAGAGGAAGTTGGTTCTCAAAGAGGAGGAGGTCATGTAATATATCATCTGACACCCAAGGATTTTCATATATAATATCCCCCTTCTCTCTCATTCCAGGAAAATGGTTCTTCAAGAACAGCTCAACGACGAAAATCCCATCCAACAAAATCACCTCATGTGGTTGTACTTTGAATTTCTTTGAGAGGTTACTGCGATAAGTTTCTTCGTAACAATCCATGACAAACTTCTCCTGACTAAGGACATATTCAGTTAAGTTATCCAAGCCAACTCGAAAAGTATGTAAGAAATGGTGAAGATATTTCAACTTCTGTTCTTCCATATTTTGTAGTTGGCTTTCTCCGTAATGAATAAGACCTATTGAGACCAATCGAGGCATATAAGCTTCTTGATTCTTGTTACGATGCTTTTCAGGTACTTTATAAATACGAACTGTGTTAATATTGAGACTATCTCGGGAGAGCATGGACAACTTATCTGTGATGGATGGCGGCGATACGCCTTTTGCTTGTTTAAAAGGCCAAATATGTTTGGCAGCATTAACAGTGTGCTTCTTCCCTTCATCTGTATTGTGCATGCCTTCAGCCATTCCTGCATACACTTCAACAGACTTCAAAAGAGCAATAAGAAGAAAATAAAATTTACTTACTTCATCTCAAACAAAATGACACTGAAACAGAAGTGAATATATAATGGCTATGTTTTTGCATATTTTCAGTGTTATCCACTTCAGCCACAATGTCTAAAATCCCCTTGAATTGCGATTGAATTCTTTCCATTTTCCAGACAAAGGGAAAGTTAGTAACAAGTTCTGAGTATATCTCATAGAACTCGATCGATCAACTATTACCTATTCACGAAATCTAAATAGAGATAAGCTCGCTGATTAGATCGCTAACTATCAAATCAATCCACTATAGTTCAAATCTGAAAATATGTTTCATAACATTAAAGTCACCAAAAAAGAAAAAAGCCCGTACTACAGCGTATTCTTACGACAAAATTCATTATTTTCACAACCCATTAAAAATATATATATACAAAAGGTTGATCCGGACCAGAAATCTAAAACCATAACCAAGGATTGAGTGCTATAGAGTGAAGGAGCAAACTTAAAATACAATGAAAAAGAGTACCTTGATACTTAGGACTGAAGTTCAAAAAAAGGCTGACTAATGTGCTAAAATTTTACCTCCTCCTTTGTATGTTCAGCGAATATAATTACTCAATGTAAAGAAATAATATGAAAACTTGGGGACAAAGGACGATGAAAAGAATAAAAGTACAACCTACTAGAGAAGGAAAGAATATGAAAAAGGAGCTAGCAGGGAGTTGATTTGATGTGATGCTTTTATTCTTTTTCCTTGTGAGCAAGGAATCTAAGGATAGAATAGAAGTGTAATTGCAGCAAAAAGAAAGAGAAAGCAAAGAATAGTTGGTAGGGTAAATGCAGGTGCAAGAAGGAACGAATCAGGGTTGGGGAAGACCAAGTTTAAAATGAGATTGGTTTATGATCATTTTTTCGGTTTCCATCCAGAAAACCTTCAACACAATTACCTTTTTTCAATTTAATGGCTGCAGAACACCAAATATCCATACCACCAGCTGAAGAAGAAGCTGATGACCAAGTGGAAAAACTGTTTTCCAAGTTGGCTTTGCTGGAACGGTTTATGGATGAAGCAGAGAGGAGGAGTTTGAAGGAGACGGAGGCCAAGGAATGGATGAAAGAATTGATGGATTTGTGTTATGCGGCTCATGAATGGTGGGATGAATTTAGAATCATCAGTACCGAACACAAAAATGTTGTTCTTAATGATTGGGTGGATGATGATGAGGCGGATGATGATAATGATGATGAGAAAGCAGAGCAAAGTATGATGAAGAAAATGATGACACTGATTAAGTTTTCTTCAAAGAAGGTGCGTTCTTTTGTTCCGTTTCTTTGCTTTCGCCTCAAAAATGTTTTGGTAAAAAGTGATAATGATCTGAAAACAAAGGTTTTGAATGACAAGTTAGATAAACTTTTGCAAGATGCATCTCAATCCAAGGTTTTCAACTTGACAAGTAATGTTATTGGTAGTAGTAGTAGTAGTAGTAGTGATAATGTTCAATGTCTTCCAATTATTGCTGCTACTCTGCGACTTGATAATTCAATCAAGTTTCATAATGAAGATCAATTTCGGTTTTTACTTAGAACCGTAATTAGAGAGAGTGAGCAAAGTTTATCTGTGACGAGGGTCATCACTATAGGAGGAAAACCGGGTTTAGGAAAGACCACAACAGTTAAGCTAATATATAATGATGATAAAGTGAAGCAATGCTTTCAACTTAGAAGATGGGTATCCGTAACAGGCAATTTGAAAGAATGTTTGGAAAGAATCGCCAAGGATATCATCGGGGTGAGCCAAGAAGAAGGCGGCGGCATTCAAGTTTCGGGGCTGTCATGGAAATCATTGTTCCGTATCATAGAGGACTTCATTTCCAAGATGAAGTTCTTGGTTGTCATGGTCCTCATGGATGATGATGTCTGGGATGAGGAAGACTTCAGTCTTTGGGAACAACTTAACGAAGTCCTCAATCATGGTGCTCCAGGAAGCATAATTCTCGTGACGTCGCATAATCAGAAGACACTGAACAGAATTGGAAACGTTGGCTGTAGTATGCATCCTATGCCTTTAGAGCAAAGCTGGCAAATGTTACAAGAGATATCATTGTCTAGAAGACCCGAGTTGCGCGAAAGCGTGGAGGTGATCGGGAGAGACATTTGTAAAAAGTGTAATTGCTTCCCCTTTGCTGTAAAGATTATTGCAACTCATTTACGGTTTAAGAACACTGTGGAAGAGTGGAAAGAAGTTCTCAACCATGAACTGTGGGAACAATGTCACTTTGAGGAATCCGCGGTAAGGATCAGTTACAACGACTTACCCTTGCCATTACAACGTTGCTTCTTATATCTGGCATCCTTTTCTAGAGAATTCGTGTTCGATGTTGATCAGCTCTTGAGGTTGTGGATGGCAAAAGGTTATCTTGGTCCTCCAAGTCAAGATGACAAAAGGAAGAGAAAGAAAGGTCTTGAATACTTTTCCCAATTGATGAACCGTTCTTTCTTTCATAACTTTGTCAAGGGTTCTGTTCATAAGAACAAGATAATCAGTTTCCAGATGGATGCTAGAGTTCATGACTTTGCTGCAGTGATTCTCAAATCGGAACCATCAACTACTCCTGAAGTCGTTGACAATGGAAAGATGCCTAGTTATCTCATTGTTTCTCATCCTAATGGCCCCAAGGAATTGTTTAGGCAGTTTGATCAATTTAGATTCATAAAAGTATTGGATCTATCTTCTTGTCAACTAAGACATCTCCCAAACGTAGTAGAAAGGTTGATACTCTTGGAATACTTAAACTTGAGTAACAATCAATTGAAACATTTGCCTGAAGCTGTATGCAATCTGTATTATCTTCAGTTTCTTGATGTTCATCTCTGTTACGTATTGTCCCACCTTCCTCATAGGATCCGAGAGTTTCAACAGTTGAAACACCTCAGGATGGACCACACAACAGATGAGTTACAACAAATGCCGCGAGGATTTGAGCAATTGACTTCCATTCAAACACTGGATGTCTTCAGGGCGGGTGGAAAGTACAATGACATTGCAGTGTTGAAGGACTTTATTAATCTTGAAGAGATCTGCATTGTCATTCATGGAAAAGTAAAGTTGGAAGACGCAGCACTGGAGAGGAAAACTAAGATAGAAAGCTTAGAATTATGTTTTGTAGGGGAAGGACTTGATGTAGCAGTGGTGACATCAGTCAGGCAAATGGAACCGCCTCCAAACCTAGGAATGCTCAAGTTGGAGGGTTATCAAGGACTGGAACTCCCAAAGTGGATAGTGGCACCTCCTCTCCTGGATAAATTGACAAGATTGACTGTAAGATCGCCTCTAAATCTTGTTTCCTTGCCTGAGCTGTGGAAATTGTCATCTCTTACATTTCTCTGGCTTTATGACATTCCGAAATTAAAACACCTGGATCGGGAATTCTTTGGTCTGCCCAAGCCTAGAAAGAAGGAGGAATGGGAAAGCGAGGACGATGTTGAGTATTTCATTCCAAAGAGGGTAGTGTTTCCCAGTTTGATAACATTACGAATTGAGTATATGGAGAATTTAGCAACATGGGAGGATCTAGGTAAAGGTGAAGAGAAGTACTACAGGAAATGCACAATCATGCCAAACCTGGAGGAGTTTGCTATCAATGGCTGCATGAAGCTAGATGCGCTACCTGATCACATCCTTGGAAGGATGCCTACGGTGAACATTACCCGCGATGGCCAGACTTACTCAATTCCTAAGGAAAAAAAGGCGGGAGGCTTATTCCATTTCAAAAGGTGACTCACTTAAATGTTTCTGAGTTAATTTGGTGTCTCATTTTGCACCTTTCTAAGTAGTACAGTATGTTTAATTTATTTATTTATTTTTTCATTGGCAATGTAGGTGACCGGTTTGATATTGGAAGCAATGAATGAAGTAGTGAAAGGAGTCTAAAGAAAAAGCCACAAAGCTACCTACATTTGCTTCCTTCTTTCCTTCCCTTTTCAACGTTTTGTCCTTCAATTCATGTTTGTGGTCCCTATATAATGCTATGGTTTTTTCAAGCTTTTTCCTCAATAAGGTTTCGATGATTTGCTTATTGTCACTTGTCAGTGAACAGAAGCCTGTATATCAAACTGCATTCTTAAATGTTGTTTGACTCATGGTCGATCGTGTTCGCTACCAATAATGTAACATTACTATATGGTTTTCTGTAATCGAGTCGCTTTGTGATTCAAATTCTGGTTTCGATAACTTGTCTTTGATGTAATCGAGGAGTTGTATCTTATGTTTTGTAGAAACATAAAACATTTGCATCTTTGGACTCCTCATCCTAGGCTTCCTTGCTACTTTTGACTGCAGCAAACAAGAATGTTATTGCATATGAAGTAGGAACACACTAGTTCTGCATTCTTTTTACTTTGCTTTGCCTAAGATCCGATGTCTAATTAAGAGACATCAAGTCCTACTACAACATTTAAGAACAAAAAAATTGTTCTATTACAACGTCTAAAACACTGCATCTCGGAACGATGTGTGCATAAGCATAAATTAAAACAAACAGAATAAAATCCGATGTTTAATTAGACAGCAACTGCTTCTACCATACTTGAGCTCTACCCAATACGTGAGAAACAGATTCATTAATGCTTAAAATCCCCAACTGTCTTTTCCATATGCAGAAAACCCTCTCTTCAGTGGGAAAGGCAGCCGGCAGCTCTTCCAAAACTCTTCCACTTTTATGTCCCGATTTAGCCGTTCAATCCCACTTTTTCCCACAAAGTACACTTACAAAAAACAAAACAGCAAAAAAGAAATGGTGTCGCCATTGTGTATAAGCCATCAGGAGGGTGCATAACATTTGGTAGGCACCAACTGATACTCAGGTATAAGTACGTAAAATGAAAGTAAGAGATAGAGAAGAACATACCAGATGCGTAATCTTTACCATCGATACCATGGATTGCAGTCCAGCATATTGCTTTCCTGGCTAACTTTGCCGCTTCTTCAACAGACCAAGCTTCCTAATAGCAATATTTTCTACAAAACAGAACACATCGTAATGACTAAAAAAGGCGAGAGATAAAAAGAAAAATATTTTACTTTTAACAAATCACATAGTAGACAAGAATAAAGATGAGAACAAAGGAGAAGGAGCTTGTACTTGAATTCGGACGGATCATTCAGAACATCATAGTAGAAACATCCCTCCATAGGACGAGCACCTTGTTCCGCGAAATATTCCATCTCGGAATACACCTTACGCAAGTTCAGAAGATTATACGCACTTCTAAATCCAGATACAGTGGCCAGTACGTTTCCTTGAATTATTGCCCCCATACCGTCCACACGTAACAAGCCAGGTTGGTTCGACACAAAGTCCCACCCTGCGAGCAGCCCTATTTGTGCAGAGCAATCGAGAGTGTCGATCAACAAATTTAAAGGCTCATTGATTCCAGGCTCCTCCTTTAACCCCTATTTCAAATCCTAGGACACACAATGTAGATGATCAATCATGGAGCACAAAAGCATAAGAAAAAAGGCATGTCATTTTTTTTGTTCCTCCAGGAAATGAGTTGACAAAAAGATTCACACACACACACATACACACACACACACACAAAAGAAAAAGAAAAAGAAAAAAAAGGTAAATAAAAATATACATATATACCTCTGCCTTGAGCTTTTCCAGAAAAGGTTTGCAGTCCAGAACCTCCCCTCCTGTAACAGAGACCACCGAGGGAAAACCAAACTCATAAAGGATGTCGGAATCCGCAGAACCTGAATCCACACAATTTAGGAACTTTTAGCTGATGCTCTACGTAAGCAAGCCAAACCAGCTCATAATCACATCCCATAAGCCAAACTTTTCTTATATGCTTGAAAACACAGTATTAAATAATATTCATGGTGCTATCAAGAGTATTTTCCCTCTTTAAGACCTCATGGACAACAATGGATGATAGTTTGTTAGACTATGTTCTACTGTACTAGTTAAATTTGGTCTAGTTATCAAAAATTTGTTTGGCAATATATATGTAAAGGCCTTCTGAAGTCTAAATCGTTACTAAGATCAGAATGCAAGGTTGAATCATTTTAGCTTTTCGTCGTCAAATGACTCAAATTAGTCTTTTGTGCCAACTGCCAAGAGAACTTTGATTCACTAATTGCTAGAAAAGAATGATGCAACTTCCCTTTCATGCACCTCCCTGCAGGTTGATGCTCACAATCAAATTTTGAAGATTTTCAGAATCTGATAGCACACCATTGAAGGAGTATTCTGAAATATTACAAATCACTCTCCATATATGGTACAAGAATCATCAGTTTGCTATGGAAGGAAAAAATAACAAACAAAGCTCTTAACTTGGGAATTTGGGTACCAACGCTAAATCAGACAATGCTAAAAAAACAAACCAACCAACCTGGTTCTGTATGATTAACAGCTACGATAACCCCCTAGCCGAGAACAATGCCCAAAGCAGGGAGCCCCTGGTCTTCCAGATGGCAGTCTCCATCATAATTAGCTCTATATAACCTAGGTTTAGGGGTAGGTATTGGATGGGTGGGGAAGGCTTTCAAGAGTCTCCCTCCCTTCAATATGCAATCAAGATGAACAAAATCAATCAAACAAAATAATCAGTGAATTTTGAGGAGAGACAGAGAGGGTTGAAGAAGAAGAACTAACCCAGCTAAGGTGGGGAAAATAATCCGTGGGTGGGTAGCAAAACGAATGTGGCTGAAGCTTATCCGCCGGAACACACTAAATTCAAGCAAAGACAACAGAAAACAAGACAGAGATACGCGTAGTGTGAGTGTGAGAGAGTGAGAGAAAAAACTAACGCCAGCGGAAGTCACCTGGCCGGAATCAGGTACTCTTTCCTGGTCTCCGGAGGCGGGAGAGTCACTGGGCAGTTGATCGGGTCGGACTTCGTCGGCGGGAGAGCTACGGGGTAATTGATCGGGTTTACTGGATCCGGAATCCATGATTGTCAGCTTTCTTTTCTGATGATGAAGACAAAAATCTTGCGGGCTAAGAGTTTTAAGATCGAAAAGAAGGTAATACAGAGAAACTAGGAGATCAAACGCGCTACAAGTACATATTATAAGCAGCGGTGGTTTAGAGTTTCAGCTGCTTTGATTGATCTCTAAACTGCTTCCCAAATTCACCATGCAACAAATTACAAACCGACCTCATATTTTCCCAAAAAAAAAAAAAAAAACATAAATATATGAATTGATACTCATCTTGGACACTCTTAGTGCATGAGCGGATCGCAAAAACAGATATTTGGACACTTCATATTTGGATGAGGTACACATATACACACTCCAGAATGAAAAGGCTAGTACTTGATCTTAAAACTGATCAGTAACAACACAACCCTGAATAGGTAAAAAATGATTAAAATGATAAGAATAGAACCAAATATATGAGAGTTTTAAAATGATTGAATGCATGAATTTGAGCATAAACATATTTTTAGACATTTTCTTCAAGCCAGGCAGTTTGCTAGCTGGTCCTCCAGCTTAATTGTAGCGTTTAGTGAATAATGGATTTCTCTTCCTATTTGAGGAAGATGGCTTGCTCTTCATCTGGCCTTGTGCAGGTCTTTTTTGTGCAGTGGTACTATATTCCATGTAAACCCTCCCGTCTGCTCCTGACATTGAACTCATGGCTTTAGAAGATCTACTGGCTCTTTTAAGCGCCATACCATCTTCGTCTTCTTCCAGTTTCTCCAGAAGAGCATCATCGTCACCGGCATTCAGTACCTCTCCAAGAAGCGCGAGCTGGTCTTGCTTTTGATTATAGCTCAAGTCCCGAGGTCCGGAATCAGGAGGCAAGCTCGTGATAACTTTGAAGCTGTAGCCTTGGTCAATCAAGAACTGTTGCCTTTTTGTTGAGTAAAACATTTCTTGTGTATCTACGGAGACAAGTGAGTAATAAAATGCATTATACTCTTCTTTACCCCCTGCCATTCTGTCCTGAAGCTTCCCTTTAGCCCTGAGAATACGCCCGAGTCGCTGAGCTTCTTGGCGCCTTGAACCAGCATGTGATGAGATCTGGATGATCACATTCGCCTCCGGGATGTCAATTGAGTTATCACCAACCTTTGACAGGAAGATGGTGTTGACTTGCTTGCTAGTTTTGAATGCCTCCAGAATCTTTGTCCTCTCAGCATGCCCTGTTTTACCATATATCATAGGCTTGTTCAGCTTCAATGCATACTTTTGAAGAGCAAAAATGTTGTCAGAAAACACGATTATTTTATCGCCACGCTGCTCCTCATGGAACCGGATCAGAAACTCGCAAGCCCTGAACTTATTCGGGTTCATCACGTAAAGTCCTTGCTTCTTCTTGGAATTATCAGGCTTCAAGTATTCACCAAAAAACTCCCTTGTCATTGGACACCACACTTCGGCACACTGAACATTTGCTATGAACCCACCTTTTGCTAAATCCATCCAATTTGCCTCGTACAATTTGGGGCCGATGAGAAAATTCAAGTCTGTAATCTTCTCATCCTCTCTCACAAGTGTAGCTGTAAGTCCCAATTTACAATGAGATTTAGTAAGGCTGATAACTTTCCGAAACATCTGAGCAGGGACAACATGAACCTCGTCCATTAGAAGCAATCCCCACTCTTTGCTTTTGATTTCATTCATTATCTTTTCAGCTTCTTCAGAACGTTTCCCAGCAAAAGCAATCATGTTGTACGTGGCTACAACTACAACAGGTTTGTCACCTCGAAACGTTTCTTTGTTTGTTGATGTGAAACGGAAGATTTGATCTTCGCGAATTGTAGACCACAACTTGAACTGATAAGCCCACTGATCAACAGAGACAGCATTTGTTGCCAGACAAAGGCAGCTTTTTTTAATCCTACTTGCGGCAGAAACACCCACCAGAGACTTTCCGGCACCACAAGGCAGCACAATGATACCTGATCTTGCCCTGCCATTACCAAACATTTTGCTAAGACTCTTTTCCTGATAAGGTCTAGGCTGGGCTTGAGGCTTCAGTTCAATATGAAGATCAGGATTGATAAAATCATTCCTGAAATCATATTCCTCCAACATTGGATAATTCAAAGCATTAGGCAAACAAGCCTGCTTGACGTCTTCAACCTTTTCGGCATCAATTTCAAAGGAATGGGTTTCCTTTTCCTCTGTTACAGCAGCTATCTCGGCTTCATTCAGTAACCCATCATGGTGATTTCCTTCTATTTCACCCAGGGCTTTACCCACAGTAAATCCCTCCTCCGATGCGATTCTAGCTCGACGAATGGTTTCATTCTGGAGCAATTTCTGCAACACCTCTGGAAACGGGGACTCAACCAGATACCGATTCTTCTTCAGGACAAGCTTCACTTTACCATAATTAGCCGTTGATTGATGAATGAAATCAATGATCTGTTGGGGGAGTTCGGTTTTCGACAACTTACTCAGAACCGAGATTATCGTTTCGGTTTCGAGACCAATTGAAACGGCGGCGTACAACGAGTGGGGAGTCAAATTGTACTCGTGCATCGACTCCGGCCGGCAAACGGGTTCTGCAATTGCAATCAGAAAATCATACGCCTGTTTGTAAAGTGGGGAGGAAGTTTCCAGGAAAATCCGACCATCGGCGCAAGCCCACAACGGCCGATTGTCGTGATCGGACTTCAATTCCAATTGGGTGAAATCCCTGTTCTTCCCGTCGGCGTCCCGATCATAATCGTCATCGCTGTCATCGTTATACCAGCTATAATCATCAATCGAATCCGACCTCTGTTCTTCCTCCTTTTTGGAAAACTTGATCTTTTTGGGAGGACGACGTTTATCACCATTTCCCATAGCGAAAAATCGAGAAGAATGATTTGGAATTTGGGATAATTCTTAATCGGAGGTTGGGAAGCTTTGGATTATGGCGGTTTTAAATCAAATGAAATGAATAGTTTTGGCACTTTCGGGAGAGAGTCGGTGTTAGGGTTGTGAATGAATCAGACGGAAGTGACGGAGTCAAAAGAAAAAAACTAAAAAAAGGAGACAAAAGGGGGAAACCTCGGAATGACGTGGTAAAAGTAAACAGTGGAGGATGTATTTATAGACGGATTTTGTTTTCAAAGATCCCAAAAAGTGTTTTTTTTTTTTTTTAATATTACGCACTCGGTTCCGAAGTCATTGCTAATCCGGGTAGATTCCTTTCAAAAGGCAAAGCTCTCCCAACAATTGTATCACTGCTGACCGGATTCGAGTGCCCGAAGTCATTTCTAATCCGGATAGGTCCCTTTCGGGAAACAAAGCTCTCCCAACAATTATATCACTGCTGAACGGGTTCGGGTGCCCGAAGTCATTGCTAATCCGGGTAGGTCCCTTTCGGGAGGCAAAGCTCTCCCAACAATTATATCGCTGCTGACCGGGTTCAGGTGCCCGAAGTCATTCCTAATCCGGGTAGGTCCCTTTCGGGAGGCAAAGCTCTCGCAACAATTATATAACTGCTGCCCGGGTTCGAACTTGGGTCATAGTTAACCTGGCCAATACCTTTACCACTTAGACCAAGTGATTGTTTTAAAAAAAAAAGTTTTAATTTAACTATTCCTTCATTGTTTTCATATCCATACAAATTTACACTCCTAGTACTACTTTTTCTTATTATTGAAATTTTAAAACTAACAAAAATGGAAACAGGAACCAAATCAAGACTTTGTTAGAATCCTAGGTATTGTTGACATACATTTGGTCGCTCCTATGATCCTATCTTATTTGGAGGATGGAAAAAGGACTTTGGCCAATGTTGTGCAACTCAAACCAGGAGCTTAAAGATTAGGGTTTTAGCGATTGAATTGAGTTTACTAAGTGCAGAACCAATTTATTTTTCAGGAGTCAAGACTTTATCATGTTATTAGCTCAAGCCAAAAAAGATGATGAGTTGCGAATTTCATGTTAATAGATCGAGCCGAAAAAGATGATGATACTTTGTTAAAGCCGAAAAAGATGATGACTTCCGAATTCGGATATCTTGAACTCCCAGTCTACAACAGTAGTAGTAGACTCAAGTGATGGCAGTCAAATGCTGAAATAAGTAACAATCTTGGTATCCACATTCCACACAGATAAAACAAGAGCAATCTGAAGCTGTTAAGCTTCTGGAATGATGCCAAAAGGGCTCTGAATAGACATCAGGACGTTGACATAATGAACTCCAGGCACCATTCGTTTTTGAAAGTGGCTACATAATCAGAAGAGCATGCCCCAAAAAACACTCATCACTGCTGAAGTAAATCATTCAGGATTTCAGGTCATCATTTAAAAAGGACCATGGTTGAGCTCCTTAGAAACAGGAGATCTAATCATTCAACTCAAAACGTAACATACAAAACCCTTCTACTTATGTCTTCACAACCAGATGACTTAAGTGGAAGTGTGCCTCAGAGTTATCAATAATGCCTAGGGTTTGAAAGAGTTCACCAAACAATGGGGTTTAAAAGAGTTGCAATCAATTGCAACAAACCCCAGGAACAACTAGGGTAAATGAACCAATCAAGTTGAAACACTATGTGTGCAGCTCAGTTTGCTACAACAAATAACAGAACTATCAGTTTCCCCTAGGATCCAAAAATATCTGAGAGATATATGCAAGAAATCATTCAGCCACAACAAAGATAACACAAACTAAGGTTTATGAAAGTACATGGGCATATGCTTACAATGCACTTGCGAGCTTTCGGAAACAAGATATGAAGATGCAAACACTTGCAAAACACATTAAGCACAAGAAATAACAGGGAAATCCAAGGTTATCACAAGAACAGGGAGGACAGTAATAATACAAAAAACACTCAGCTTAAAACCAAAATTGTAGGACAACACACGAAGAAAATTTTCATAAAGAGGTTTGTCAAACAAAACACCAATGTGCACTGGCATTTATTAACAATATCTAAATGCATAACATCATAACCTGAACAAGGAACTCAAAGAACAAATGTCAGCACGGAATAGTCAGTGATGAAACTTCATTTACATCCATGCTAACCATTACGTCAAACTATAAAGAGTGTGTTTCATCAAAATCTTAGGAATATCACAAGAGGCCAGTGCGCATCATCACTGATCAATTCGGTCTTTCACAATGAAGTTTTGGCGGCTGATGGGGTTCATGACCACAGGGGGTCCAGCAGTCCGAGGCCAAGCCTGAAACTTTTTGTCAGTCTCTGCCCACCATTCCTTGTTTGAAACAGTTGATGGCGTGGTACCTATACAAATCCAAAAACTAGATAAGAAACCTGACAATAATGATATTTGATAGTTGATAATTGATTTAGAACAACATGACTTGCCTCCAAAGATCTTCTGATCGGCAATTAAGTTGTCACAAACATATGCAACGACAAATGATCCTGCCAAAGCTCCAACAATGTACTTGGTTGACATCTTCTACGTTCAAAAACTGACAGTAACACCAGTTTCAAAGTTAGATGACAAACCAGATTCAAAGTTAGGTAACAAAGAACTACAATAGTTCTATTCAAGAATGAGATTTCCTTGGAAAGCTTATTTCTTGAAAGGGGTCTCAAATGGGAAGGGGCCAAACAAGGAGACCCCTTTCCAAAGTGAAGAAACCAAATCGCATAACTACGACAAACAAGAACAATGAGCATAAAAAAATAACAAAATAACAGGAAGAGCTGCATATATTTTGACGACAGGAATGCTACATACACACCAGGAGAATCATTACATGTTTAAAAAGGTCAAATTGGTAACGCCCTCTGTGAGATGAAAATTAAAATATCAGTGAGACAGTAATTCCAAGTTTCCTACTCTGGTTGCAATAAACATAAGAAGTTTGCCGGGATGATGATGCCAAAAAGCTATTCGATGTTTTATTTACAAATGGCGAGACCTCTTATCAATTTACGTCAGTTAAAAACTGTGGATTATTGATTCTTGCATATAGGCATTTCAGAAACAGAAACATTCATTAATAAATCACTTACCTTAATAGGTAAGAATTTGGTGCAAACATCACACTACACTCATCAAATATAAACTCCACATTACAGCAGAAAAAGCATAAGGACCCAACACCCAACACATTTGCATACTCATTACCATCAACAAAGTTAAGATATTCAACAAAAAAGACTGTATAGCTCATTCAAAGAGTCATCTTTCTATGCCAAATTCAACTATAGAACTCAACTTCAGCCTCATTCAAGATGATGAATGATTCCAATATCACAACAACACCCCTAAGCGCATTACTGGCTCAACATCTCTAATCTCACAGGAAGAAAATGGGAAACCCAAAAGGTCCTACTTTTATTTCTCATTTCTGTTCAAAGACCCCAAAAAAACTTCTAAGAGTTTCTATTATCACCGCATATGCTGGCAAAATATATTTTAGGAATCGCCTTAAAGATTCAGAAAATAAAAACATCACTCAACCAAACCAAAAAGGGCCTCAAAACCCTAGGATTTAACATTAGCATAAAAAGTCAAAATCAAGATGGCAGCATAAAATCGATGAACACTAAATTACACGCCAGAGTCCCAGATTATCATTTCACAAAAATAAAGCTACTTTCCCATGACCTAAAGTGATTCGGGCATGCAACGATTAACCGAGAACAATCTGGAATCTGTTCTAGAGCTTATAGGGTTCGAGATTGAAAGATTTATTCTTAAGTCGAGATTCAAAAAATCCAGTTTAAAATGAAATCGGAAATCATACTACAATTTAAGGTGAAAAACACGCGATTGATCAAGAAAATACTCAAAAGAAAAACGAAGCCGCAGAAAGAAATGGAGAACTTACAGGAACGAACTCTTAGGGTAAGGGAGACTGCCGATGAATTTGGTTCGCTTCTGGATTCTGTTGAATTTTCGTTTTTATAGTCTTTTCCCGTGAACCGCTAACAACTATGTCGTTTCATTGATGGCTAATAATATTTCAGGTGATGAAGAAGGGTTTTTTTTTTTTTTTTAAATTCAATTTTGAAAATAACACCAAATTGAAAATATCACAAAAAAAGGTTGGACTGGATTACTCGCATATGTCATATAGATACTATAGAGGGTTTTTTTTTCTATAAATTCTAAAATTAAATGTGAATTATTTTTGTTTAGTACAAAGATCAAAACTCGATGCGGACTATTTTTTCAGGCAGAAAAATATTCAACTCCATGGTTATAAAACCAGCAAATGGATGAAAATTTGATTTGTGGCCAAATGAATAGCTATGTGTTAATGCTTGTTACAACATTTTTTATTTATATATGGAAAAGAAAAGAAAAGAAAAGAAAAAAGTAATTTGCTCCCTTCCCAAAACTAAGAATGACATTTCGATGTAGCTAAAAATTGAATCTTGCCAATCAGAAAACAGGAAAGTTTTTGCATTGAAGCCAAAACTTATATTTTAAATTGAAACAGAACCATCTTTTTTCTATTCTAAGAATAGATAACGGCTATCCTCTGGGACGGAAGGATTCGAACCTCCGAATAGCGGGACCAAAACCCGTTGCCTTACCGCTTGGCCACGCCCCATTTCGACTTTTTTTGGTCAACGCTAATTTAAGCGTACTATTTGGAGTATTTCACTAATTTTTGTCCATTACAAGCAAATAAATTGAAGAGGCAGGAGGTGAAAGAAAGTAAAACCAATGTAACATCTCATCTCATATACACAGTTCTTTTCAAGATGTATAATTACAAAAAGGTCATAATCTAGCCCAACAATGTCAGATGGGTAGTGAGTAGATTACCATACTTCAACTACAGATCTGAATGAAGATCATAATACAACCACAAAGTTAACAATGCTGATACAAATGCCAAGGGCCGACGCGACGAAGGTCAGTGTTGCCTGTCTTAGATATGTATTCCGTGAATCTTTGCTTCTTAATGCCTCTGAATACTGTACATTTCTATGTTACACAAGAAGATCGAAAAAGAATGAAAGAATGCAAGGCAAAATCAAAGCTCAATCAAGCAATTCCAAGCGGCTGCAGTGTTGTGCCGAGCGCTGTACATAATGCACCTCTGAAGCAGCAGAGAAGGGCTTCACCACAAGGCATGTTATTAACATGCTATTCAGCCACTTCTTTGGAATGGCACCGACATCTTTTTGGCTCATAAGAAATGTGCGATGAAGACCTTTTTCGTCATATTAACATCCCGCAGCTTTCAAAAAGTTGTCATACGGGCTTGATGCTGGCAGCCTGAAGGATTGGGGCTGATGTTTGTACTCAGCTGCACACAACATGGGCACCGCTGGAGATGGTTTGCTTGCAACTGCATGTGTATCTTGTTCCAAGAACGGATTTCCAACCTGAAATTTAAATGCCATTAGTGATTCAAGGGAAACAAATATTGTCGTTTCTGGTTTGACAGGACCTCAAATTTCCTTTTCACATGAATAGAATGAATCTAGTATCATTATCGCTAATGCAATATATTTGCATGATTTAAAGTGAATATCTTTTGCCACTAATAGGAATGTGAACTTTCATGTTGGACATAAGTATCAAAAAAATACATGCTGAAGAGACCTTGTTGCTTCACACAGTTATCAGTAAGTTATGTAAAATCTAGAGAAATGAAACGCGAAATTACCACTTGGAAACTTATATCAGTGTGTACTTGCGCAACCGTTCCTTTATCACTGTCATCAGATCGCTGAGAAACTCTGATCAACAAGCTTTCCTGTCTCTGTTGGCCATGCGTGTTCATTAAATATGACATTTTCTGCTGCTTTCCAATCAAAAGTGCCTCACACTGATGGGCCATTTCCTTATATGACACGTCGGTTGTGCTCACAGATAATCTTCCTACTTGGTGTGCTGTTTCCAACACCTGTATGCATTACAGAAAGGCCATTATGTTCCCCCAAAACAATCTGTATACTAATGTCTTGGATGTTGAAATCAACCTGCATGCCCTATTCAAAGATTGTTTTGGCATAACAAATACCCTATTTTGTTTACATTCCGATTGTTGAAACTGAAGAGTGAAATAATGTATTGGCTTAAAGTTTGCTACTTGCATGATTTACTATGAAATAGCTTATATGCAATAGCAAGAGTGAAAGCATGAACCACACTCTGCACTGCCCCCCAACAGATATACATATGAAAGATAGCTTATATCCAATACAGCACGAAAGATAGCTGATGGATCAAAGGTTGGGATTTCATAAGTTGCCACAGAAAATTAGGCAATGGAAATTTGGTGTGTTAAGAATTGGAAGCAGTGTATATCAAAGAGTTCTCTAAGTAACAATAGCTGCTGCTACTTATCAAATCTGAAAGGATCATAATTTGACGAGGGATGAGAAAAGTTTGAAGCTTCCTGAAGCGGAACGAGAAATTAAGGAGATTATTTGGATGGTGCAAGTATGTTACAGAAAGCCAACAGTGGGGGAAAAATAGTTCCTAAGTGAGTTAGGGGTGTATATTGAGCAGATGGAGTGAGCTTATTTGTGATAGATTCAAGTTAGGCAATAATTGTGCAGAACCTGGAAAGTCTTTGCAAAAGAAAAAACTTATTTACTCTAATACCATCCCACCAAAAAATAAATAAATAAATAAATAACCAAAGCAAGATCATGGAAACTTACAGATTCTAGAAGTTGATTTACACTCAATAGGTCAGGAATATCAATAGCCAATTGAGGATTTGGTTTTAAACTGCTCTCAAATTGATCAGGAAGAGAATCATCGTCTATCGAGAAAATTGGGCCAGCCTACATAGCAGAAAACAAACGCATCACATAATTTGCACGAATTTATTTAGAAATGCACTGTGGGAATTGCCTCTCCTTGGAAAAAAAAATGAATAAATAAAAGGAAACGTTACCTCTCCTTGAGCCTTATCATCATTATGATGAGAGCTATGCTCCTTTTCCGGAGCATCAGAGAAAAACTGGGCTCCGAGATTACACACTCCATCAGGGGTAAAACGATTTAGCAACTGCTCCTTAATACGGTTAGATTCACTCTGCAATGCCAGGAAATGGTACGCATGTCTTAATTAAAAACAACAGCGGAATAATTTATAGTAGAAGAAAAGGGGGGAAGTTGAAAAATTAAGGGAACAAAAAAAAGATCGAGCTGATTATCACATTAGCTAAGTTCTCCAAGCTCTTCATGATAAGAGAAACCATGTGTTCCCTTGTCTGATCCTTGGTGATTTCTATCTCCGAGAGACATTTCAAAGCACAATTATCATCCTCTTTTGATCCATAAACAACTTTTCCATTTCTTGATCCCACATCAATGGCCTCTAACTTGGAATCTTCAACTAGTGATAGAAATGGATCAATCTGGATCACGAAGAAAAAGAAGGTTCAAAGAGTTTGCCACCTTTTGGTAATCAACTTTTATTTAACTAGAAAAGCAAGTCGTGAAACTGTTCAGTTAAAGTACATTTCAAAATCATTTCCATTCAACTGATCAAGCATGAGATGATATGAAAGTTGCGGCAATCTAGAAAAGTAGAGAAGTGAGCAAATGCAGAAATCCCTTAAGCTGTAAATAACTTACCACTTTCTTAGAAAATGCAGTCTTGACACATGGAATAAGAGGAAGAATGCTGTATGCCTTTGCAGAAAAAATAATCATAGAAGTTGCCAAAACAAAGAGGGATCTCCGACGTGATGGTTGCACTGGACCTGAAAGTACAATGGAACAATAAGCTCGAATGTGAATCTCCATATTTGTGGAAAAAAAAAAAAGGAAAGTCAAATAGCAGAAAGGATTGTTAAACAGAATTATCCCGCGATATTGTTTCTCATACCTAGGAGACTGACATAAATTGTTGACCACTAGACTACAAATAAATGTGCCATTCTGTTTAAAAAAGATTGAAATTTACAAGATATCTCGTTCCACTTGTTTCTTATGAATGGATGATAAAGAGAATCCCACCACCCTACTCCTCCAAGTACCAATTTACTTCATGTCTCTTCTCCACTTGACTCTCATGACAAGGCTAGCTCACATTATCATTACTTCTAAGATTTGATATATGGATTTCATCGTAGATGGGCAATGCAAAACTAACAAAATCCTCCGCTTGAAAACAAATGATCTCGCAAACAATTTTGACGCAATATATTTAGATATCTAAAAGCTAAAATCTGCTTGAACCTGCTATTTAAATTCAACATAAAAATCTATAAATATATTTACAATCTTCCTTTTGTTGATTGCAATGAAAGCAGGCAGCATGGTAACCTCTTGAACAGGTAAAGAAACAATCTTTTGAAAATTTTTCAGAAAAATCCATCATTTTTAGCTTGGCTCACAAAATATGCACACATCTAATCAGCATTTACCTCCTTCAGTGAGAGAGAAGTCCCGTAATGAGAACGCAAGTTTAAAACTTTGAGCTAGAGCCTCCAAAGAAGAATTCTGGGAGTATCAGCAATGGAACAACATTCAGTGAGACACACAATATGAGAAGAGCTTAAGGACATTAATTTATTAAACTAAAATATGTAAAATTGAAGAAACCAAGGCAAGAAAGTACCTTGGATCGAGAGAACAACAGAACTAGGCTGTAAGTGTGAGCAATCGCTTCATAGTTTTCAGGCATATTTTCAGGAGATATGGCCTGTGCCCAGATTGATGATAGTAACTGAGTAATCTGATGACTACTCAACCGAAGAGAAATTGGATCCTGGCATTCAAGATAGTATTCACACTTATAGTACTTGATAACCATAGAAAATCATCTCAATTACAAACAAATTATATTTATAAACAAAATCTCAACCGAATTGGAACATAGAGATCTTGAAAGAGCAAGTTCAATTTCATCATGAAATATAAACTTTCCAATAAATCAGATACTAAATAAAATAGTTTTAAGTGAAGCATGCTCAGAAAAACAAAATGTGACATGCTGGAATGTAGAAGAATATCTCAGCACTAACCGTTACTGTTTTGTTTGCCAAATCTGTTTCTGTTGGAGGTGGGCTTTTAAAGCTATAGACTCTGCTATAGGTTGATTTGATTCTGCTAAGCACTCCTTCATTGACATTTCTTTGTTCCTCCTGACCACTAGGCTTCTCCTTGATGTCCTGGTTTACATTATCTCGGGGAGAAGTTTTGTTCTTCAGCTTATCAAAAAGAGCTGCTGATGATGAAAACACAGAAACAGTTCTTGAAAGTGTACGCTGAAGATCGTTAGGCTTCTTCAACTCAGCAGCACCTGTATATGGGCAAACCGAAGATGGAACAAGCACAACTGAGAATACACGGTGAGCTCCAACTCGTGTTTCATGATCTGGATGAACCATGGCTGGGAGTAACTGATGAAACAGGGACTCCGGAAATGCCTGAGGCATGAAAGGAATATCAATGCTGTGAACGTTGTAAAACAGAAAGAAGATTGTATAATAAGATAGAGAACAGTTTCTGAATCAGATTTTCCTACTTTATTCTGATATGACAAGTTCGGCAATGAAGCAATAATTTGAGCAGTACGAAAAACAGCAGCAATTGTGGTTCTCGCAATAACCGTAATGTTTGAGATGTTTTCTAACATGACAGACATGGCATCAAGGATCCGACCTGCATCGCCAACCTGTTCATAAAAAGAGCAACATCAGACTTGTAAATCATCTTCATAATGAAACTAAGAGAAGTTTATTTCTTAGTTTGCCCGAAACTGAAAACTCAATTCTGGCCGAAAATTCTTTACATATTGGCATAAGCTAAATTTACTTAAAATTTCATTTCAAAGGTTGTTTTGGTTGTCTGCAAGAGGGTGATTGACATGAGTTTTTAACGCAAACAGGAGGCAGAGTGACCTAATTATTCAGGTGAAAAGATCTCACCTTGCATGATAACTCCACAAGGCACTCATCGACAGCCTGGCTAAAATCTCTGTTCCATTTAATCATGTCAGTCCCCAAATTTGCATCATCAAGTGAATAATGTATACTCTTTCTAAGATGCCTCATTATATCAGTTACTGCTCCAATAATAGCAACCGAACTCAGAGTCTTCGTGTCTCTAGCAAGGGAGGCGATAACCCTAACAATGTCAAGCTGCATATCAGGTTGCTTGAGAACATTTTTATGATCAAGGTGCTTGACTAATGTTGACAGTAGAAAATGTGTATTCTGCCCTGCATTGTGTCAGAAACAGAAAGAGTGGATTCATCATTATATCCAAAGCTACAGATTCTATCCAGCTCTTCAGGGGCAAAGAGGTGAAAGTACACAGAGTGACAAACACTCCCGACATAATCAGTACCTGAACTATCCATTATCAGCTGAATGTCCCTCAATACAGGAAAAGCAATACCATTTTCAGACTGCCACTGATTTCCATTATCAAAATAACGGAATAGAGACTCAAGAACCCGTCTCATGGTCGTAGCTTCCTTGCCTATCTTGGCCATGTTGTGTAAGCAGACCCTGGACCAGAAGCAGGGATCCCGAGCATCATCCCTATGGAAAGAAAACGGCCACACAGTGGGTAATTCAGAAACAGAAACTAAAAAGCCTTGCAAAAGGAAAAAGAACAGAAAGTTAATGTATGATGCAAAAGGCATACATTGCAACATTTGCTTCGCCTTTGTCATTGACAATTGTCCGCCAAGATGGAACCTTAGTTAGTACTTCTGTTGAAGGTGCAGCAACATGGCCCTCGCCCTTACGTACTTCTTGTACCCAATGATTCTGGTCAGGATCCTCAGAGTTCCTAGTTGAACTTTTATAATTTTCCAAGACTACTGAAACAATCTGAGAATTGAAAAGTAATGAGTGTTTATCAACCAATATATACATATATATATATATATAGATTGTAATTATAGAACTGAATGTTCTAAATATGACCATCCAAGTGAATTGAGATAGCCTGGTTCACAGCATCAGGTGATAAATATTATGAAGTATCATCATGTCAAGCAGACGGAGAGGGGAGGGGGTGTTGTTGAGAAAGGAATTAAAATTTGATATACAACAAAAACCTGCTTACATTGTCAAACTCAGATGAAATATGGCAATATTCACCCATGAACCAAACCTGAACAACCACAAAAAAAAGATGAGAAACAAAACTCCAATGCGAGTTATGAACGCTTCTATTCATCTGATAATTGTTTTTATCATCTTAGGTTTCAGAATTCAAAAATGATCTGCAGTTGTAAGAAAACATGTATTACATAAGGGAAATCATTTGTTCTAAGTGAATTTCAAGAGAGATTTATCAATGTTCTCGGCATCAACAATGTTGGACAAGTTCGGACTTCTGACAAAGTGCTCCAACTCAACATTGACAAACAACCAAAAAAGACCAGATACTCGATAAGCATATGTCAGACGGTCTATATAACATGAAAGCAACATATACTTAAAAGTGCCATAAGAATTTTCTTGTAATAACTTTTACACCATTTTCCGCACAAGAATTCCATACTTCAAATGTCTTAAAACCATCAGATTTCTTTAAAATCTACTCAACCCTATTTTAGTAAGTGGCTGGGAAATTTATTGGTTGATATGTGCAAATGCATGCCCTTGACTAAATGTTAGTGGCCTGCATCTAGAATCAGTTAAGAATAATGTTTCCAAACTATGTATAATTGCACAGAAGTTAAGTGTGCAAAATCCTTGAAAAAGAAAATGATTTTAACAATGTTATGGAAACATAGATAGGATACCAAGGCTGAGAGTGACTGAAGACCAGCTGCACGAAGATAATTTGCTCTCTCATCTTCTCCCACTTCTTGAGCAAATTGACAGAGTTTAGGAATGAAACCTTCTAAGTTAAACATGTATGTTCCATCTTTCTGTAAAACAAAGACCAAATGTTCATGAGCCCACACCCAAAAAAAATGACGACTCTAATGGTCATCATGCAGTTCTATGAATAAGCATCTGAAAGTCTACCTGGTTATTTACAAAATCAAAGAGAGACTGGCATCCTATGGTTAATACATCATCCTGTCGGGTTTGCTCAAGCAGGGTGTGAATTATGCTTAATAAACTATTAGCGAAAAGAGGCCTGCCATAAAGTCATATGTTAGCATATTCTAGTTTCTCAAATTCATAGAGATTAAACAGGATGTTGCTTCAAACCTAAGTACTTCTGCACTTCATTTCTTAAACCAAATCGTAAAATGGGGCTAATATATTACAAATAACAAGGAATAGAGGTTCACAAGAGCGGGGAAAAAACAACAAAACAAAAAAAAAAAAGAAAAAATAATAAAAAAAGGAAAGAAAGAAAACAAAACAAAAAGGCATAGTTCCAATAAACTGAACAGACTGATAATTTGAAGATTTCTCAATAAATATTACTCAGAGATAAGTTTTCAATAACCAGATTCAAGTCCACAGACAAATCAATTCAAGATCTTACTAAAATTTATCACTTCATATACAGCCCCCAGGCAAACTCAAGAATAATGCTTAATCCCAAAGGTACATGATCCTGCTTCCGGCATTCTCTATAAATCATGTTTCTATTCAAAGAAAAAATCTCCTTCCCTTTTTAGCTGGTCAAGAACTGACTAAGACTATTATGTGATTAACCTTAAGCTACAGCAAAATGAAATTTGACAAAATAAAAGAACCTTGGCTGAAAGAACTAATGAAGGAATGTGGCAGCGAAAACACGAATGGGACTCTCTGTAGTCAAACTCTAATTGTATTTTTCAAACAAGAAATTTCAAGTGAACTCTACAACTTTTTCGAAAATAAGAGCCCAGGACTAGTGACAGAACATAATTTCAAACTCAAAACCAAAACAAGTAACGGGTTAAAATTATAAATGCAAAATTAGATTAGAAAATGAGTAGTAATAACAGTACATTAGTAGGAAAAACTTCAGATAAGACCAAAATATTACAAGGAAGAGCAAATCTTGTATTTTTCTCCAAAACATCTCGTTCCCAATCATCTCAAGTTTCTGAGAAGTTTGAACGAGTTGTCCTGACCCTGCAAGATAGTTCACACCAGAACTGGATCACAATATTGAGCCATTCCTTGGTATTTATTTGAAGGCCTCATAAGACTAAGGTTTCCGAAAACAAAATCGAAAAAGTCTCCCAGAGCTCATTTAAGCTACCAACAGGGAAGCTAGGTTTTAATTTTAGAAGGAACCAACTCTACACAAATGAGACACATTAAAAGGACCCTGCAAGATAGTTCACACCAGAACGGGATGATAATATTCAGCCATTCCTTGGTATTTATTTGAAGGCCTCATAAGACTAAGGTTTCCGAAAACAAAATCGAAAAAGTCTCCCAGAGCTCATTTAAGCTACCAACAGGGAAGCTAGGTTTTAATTTTAGAAGGAACCAACTCTACACCAATGAGACACATTAAAAGGACAATCAAAAAAGTAACATAAGTCCAATATGTGAACGAACAATCTTTATCTGTACTAGGTTCATCGCCCATATAAGGCAGAAAACTGTAAACCACATCATGCAAACAGTAGGAAAAAACTCACATTTGCTCCTTGCAGGAAATTAACAACTTCCGGTAGATACACATAACAACTTTAGCAGATTGAAAGTTCTCATTTCTTATTTCCTTGTAACACCTTTGCTCAAGCGAAGTGGTGATCTGTAAACAGTTCAAACATTTAGTTGCAAAATGCTACAATAATAAAAAGGCAACTATATCAAGTTGAGATCTCCCGGGAGCAGAAACCAATATAAGCAGCTTTCTCTAAACATAGATATGCAACAGAGTAAACTTATTTTAAAATATAAGCAAAGGTTAAACGTTTGATATCAGAAAATCCCACAAAAAGCTATAGACAAACTTCATTTTCTGTTTAAAAGAGATTTATTAAATTTTTAAAGAAAAATATTAGTAGCAACAGAAGGTAAGGGCAAAACTGAATATTAAACATCTCAGGGGTTTATGACTAGTTCATGAAAGGAAAAACACTTTATCCATCTCCCTCCACTTTAAATTACACAGATACTTAACAAAGTGTACTCCAGAACATCTGCCCAACAAGACTAAAAGAGTGTGCATATTGACATTGTTCCCTTTAGCTCTCCTTTTACAGTGACACCATAATGTTTAATCTTATCTCAACAAAAATATCAAATAGCCAGAGAACTGCAATGAAAGTTGCAATTTTACAGATTCAATTATTTTGTAAAATTACTCTGCTGCCAACATCCACAGTCACAAAGCCACGCTCTATGTTTCAATTGAGCTATTTTCTTACAAATGACAGAACCACAAGAAAAACTTCTCGGCAAAAACTCATTCAAGTTCTGTTTCCAACGAATCAAGATGCAAGATGTGAATTTGCAGTACACTGACGAATATTAACTGGAATTAAGGAATATTCCACTCAATCTAACATTTCCCAGATCACCTAGAATTGTGAAATAAAATGAGTAATACCTTTGGGATGCGCAATGGGTTTTTGGCAGCATATTCACATAATTTTCCCATCTTCCGTTCATTTGGTTCTTCTTCCTAAAAAGCAGCAGGAAATTAACTCATACTAACTCAAACAGAAGCATGTGAAAGATAGTTATGCCTACAAATCAACAGATGCATACAAAGGTAAGAGAATCTCATAGTTTTCACACAGGCTGGGAAAAGATTTTTCTACTATGTCAAACTTCAGCACCTAGATGCGAAGAAAACAACATTATCACAATTTTAAACTATGCATTATACTAAGAATGCAATTTGTCAATCTTCCAGCTTGAAATATTACACATGGATCATTAAGAACCACCTTATCTTTAAAATGAAAGATGCTACAGTGATGCAGTAAAACTAACCTGGGATCGAGGGAAGATATCAGCAATCAACTTCTTGTACCTTTTGACGGGCTGCCTAGACCTCGCCCTCATTGCAGGGCAAAAGAAACAAAGGCTGCCACATGCTGGCAATACTTGCCTTGAGATTACACCCGAAACAACACTCATGATGATATCCTAATATTTGTCTCTTTGAGATCAAACAACAAAATTGTCTAAAAATAAAATAAAATTCCAATTTAACCACAATGTAGAATGCTTCCTTTCCCTTCTTTATCTTGAGACTCCCCCAAAAAAGTTCAAGAAGGGAAAGTAAAGCCAGGCTTTATCAATAAGAAGGAATGGGTGCTTTACAAATTCCGGCACCAGCCTACATGATCAACAACAACAAGAACAAAAAAAAAAGGTCAATATGTATCAAAAACTCAAACAATATTGACACAATTAAACATGGGTTCCTTCAAAATGATCCAAAAAAAGTAATCTTTTTTAGCTATCTCTCATAATCTCAGGAATCAAGATCAAACCCAGTTCTCAGATAACAATACAATGGCATATAAATTCCAGAATTCCACAATGAATGATCATGAAACCATGATGCAGATACAGCTTGTACAAAATTGGCCAGGAGGGTTTCGAAAAAAATGTTACCTTCAGATCAATACCTGTACAGAGCAGACCAGAAGGCTGGTATACCATCAAAGAGTTTGAACAATGCACCGAATCTCCAGCATAATTTTGCAGACCCCCTAATAACCCCGAAACTTAAGACCCTTTCTCTTTCTATAACTGCCTTCCACTTTTGTTTCCCTTTTTTCTCTTTCTCTTTTGCACAAACCATATAATCTATGGCGCGATTGATTGAGATCCCTCTATCCGTATTTAGCTAAAATTTGTCATTTCTTTTTTGACAAATCTAAGACGGCCATCCATATTATTAATTATTAATAATTATTGGGGATTTTCGGACAAGTGAAATTACATTGGGATTGGGACAACAATGTTCAATAATTATGAGCATGTCTGCCGAACTTGGATTGCCCTTTTTACCGTTGACAAAAATTTGGGTTTAGCCGTTTGATGATTTGAGAGGACCCGTTCAAAAAACAGCTGGATTTTGGGAGGGAAGAAAACATTATTCTTTTGAAAGGAAGGAATAATCTAACTGTTGTTATTTTGACTTTGACAACCTCGTTCAGGAAGGTTTCATTTTGACTCTTGCTTCTTCTTTTTTTTTGTGTTTTTCTTTTTTTTCCAATTCTGGACTGGACTATTATTCTCATGGAGCAAATAGAGAGTAATTCTAATGAGGTTTCATGAAATGTTAGACAATTTTTAATACTAGGATACCAAATATTGAGAATATAGTATCGTAATTCATCCAACAGGTACAATGATACACGTATAAAAAAAATATATTTGAATTATTTTGTATCATTGACTAAACCATTCAATCACGACACTATAAAATTTTTCATTCGATGATACACGAATTCAAGGATTACCGTCTCCCTAATGTACTTTTGTTCTCTTTTTTTTTTTATCATTTATGTTTTCTAGATACTATATATATATATATATATATATATATATATTTTGGTAACGGTTTTATAGATACTATTACTAGACTCTTTTTAAAAAAAAAAAAAAATTCACCCCAATAGATTCCATTTAAATGTGGGTAAAAACTCCTTACAACCCTGAGTTATTACCAGGAAGGACAGCAATATAACCATTAGGCTGTCATTCAATTCCGATACCATTACTAGACTCACTCATCATAAGAACATAACTAATACTTCTTTTATTCTTGAAGAAATATTATTTATATGTGTTACAGCAAAACTTACAAAACTCTATTTTGAATGGAGGAAAAATTATGGAATCAACTATTTAAATCAATTGACAAAGAAGGTCGAAGGATTGAAGATTATCAAAAAGCACATTGAACATATCTTTTTTTTTTCGCCTAAGAACAATGGTTTCGATCACACCACACAGTTGAATAATCAAAATATCAAATCAGTAAATGAAAGGTTAACTTACTGTTTGAACTAATTAGCCCGTAAGCAACCAAAAAGCCTCAAAATAAGGAAAATTGTCTGAAAAATAATAATAATTGAAGATACTGTATATGAAGAACTCATAGAACCTAGAGTATCTATCAAGTTTTCACAAAATTTTAATGATTGCTAGTGCTGATTTAATTCTTGCAATTGAAGCAATAATAGAAGATTAGGTTTCAACTATTTGGCCGTATTTTATTATTTTTCCTTCAATTAATTTATGTCCAAATGGCTACTCTTGCATGTGGCGAATATGATTTTTTTTTGTTCATGGGGGGTTGGCCTAATTGAACAAAAACATTATTCCACGAATATACATATAATGCTCTTTGTGAACGAGGAAATGGGTCAAATTACTTTTGAACTATGGGATATGTTTAGACGCGGTTTTTTGACCAAACCCAAAAACAGGTGGTAACATAACATTGAAGATGGGAAATTTCAGACATAATATTGAGTAGTAGAACAAATTTTTTTTTAGGTTACCACATTCGGTTAATTATAGTCCCGCTTATAATCAACACACTAAAAGAATTCTTAGAAAACAATGATTTAACAAGGTCATTCTGTTAAATTCTTCATCTTTTACAGTTTTACTTACGGAAGAGCTATCACAGTATTATCATATAAATCCTACGTCTCATAATTATCATCTAGTTTGGGTTTTCATTTCTAGTTCAAATTGTATTAAAAGTGAAAAATTTCAAACTAGACAATAATTTTGAGATAGAGGGACTACAATTTATGTGCACTTCATTTATGCAACAAAAAAGAAAAATTGTTCTTCATAGCCCGATTTGTAACTTGTAATTTGACGAAATGCACTTTTAATGCTGTTTTAGAGTGGGGAATGTGGCAACTAAGACCACATTGAAGGTGACGAATTTTGATTCTTTTATTGAGGGAGTGGAACTTTTTGTCGTCCTAGTGCTTTGCCATAGTTTTGCTTTTTAAGGTCGTACTATTTGGGTGGTTGTTCTATTTTATTGGTAGTAAGAAAAATTTGGATAGTCGTGCATTATTTTTGTACGAGAGAAAAAGAAAGAAAACTAGGGTTTAGTTTTTGGTTTAGCTCTCTTTTGGTTAGATCCTTCCAGTCCTACTTTGTGATAGGTGTGTGTGGAAGAGTATTGTTGTAATCCACCTTTGGGTGAAGTCCTGTGTATCCACCGGAAGACTGTTTTCCCATTATTGTGATAGTAGAGTTTTGACTATTGTTACAGTCCCGTGGTTTTTCCCGATTTGAGTTTCTACGTAAATTCGCGTGCCTCCTTTATTTTATCAGTTCTTGAATCAGTTGCTTGTTTGGGTGGTTGTCCTATTTTATTGGTAGTAGGAAAGGAGATTTTCTTGGGATTCGCTTCCGTGGTGTGTTGTATTTATACCCTTTCCGCCACAACAACGGGATCAGAGCTATGGTTCGGTAGTTGAGGTGTAACACCAATAAAATGGAATAGTCATCGGGTACTGGTACGATGATTTAATTGACTTCATCCAATTATCATATGTGGAAGCCTAGAATGGAAGACTTGTTGTATTGCAAAGATTTGTTTGATCCTGTTCTAGGGGATGAAGGTAGGCCAAGTGATATGGCTGATAAAAAGTGAGCTGATATGCACAGGAAGACTGTTGGTAATATTCGACAGTGGATTGATCAAAGTGTGTTTCATCACTTTTCGGGAGAAACAAAAGCTGATGAACTTTGGGAGAAAATCCGAATATGTCTTGGAAGAAGTCCGGCATCAATAAGTCATCTGCATTGAAACAGTTACGAGGTTGAGGTACAAAGATGGTGCTAGCATGAATGAGCACTTGAGTTCGTTTCAGAGTTTGTTGAACCAAGCTGTGAATGTAGGTTTAAAGTTGGATGATGAGGTGCAGGCTTTGTTATTGTTTAGTTCTCTTCCAGACAGTTGGGACACTTTGGTAGTATCAATCAGTAATTCAACCCAGGATGGTGTCTTGACCTTGGATCAGGTCAAAGAAGCTTTGATGAATGAAGAACTCAGAAGAAAAGAGCAGAGTATTGAGTCTGAGTCGCAGGCTTTGGTGACAGAAAAGTCAGATCGAAGAGGGAGAAGTAAAAGCAGAGGGCCACGTGATCGGAATGACAAGTCCAGGGGACGGTCTAAATCCAAGAAAGATGTCGTGTGCTACCATTGTCAAGGGAATGGGCACTTTAAGAGGGAGTGCAGGGTTCTCAAGAGAGAACTAGCAGTGAGAAAAGGTAAAGACAAAAAGGATGAATCAAGTGATGATGACACTACTGCAGTAGTAACTACTAGTGATGTATTCGTGTACTGTGATGATGATACAATTAATGTTGCGAGTCACGACAGTGATTGGTTCGGTGATTCAGGCGCGTCTTATCATGTGACGCCTCACAGACACTTCTTTACCTCTTACACACCTGGAAATTTTGGTCGTGTAAGAATGGGCAACCAAGCCTCATGCGATGTTGTCGGCATGGGAGAGGTATCATTGGTAACGAATATAGGTTGTACTCTTGTCTTGAAGAATGTCAGACATGTTCCGGATATGCGTCTGAACCTTATTTTCGTTGGTAAACTTGATGATGAGGGTTATCATAGCACTGAAGGTGGTGGCCGTTGGACAATAACCAGAGGGAATCTGGTTATTGCTAGAGGAAAGAAGTTGAATTCTTTGTATGTGTTGAATGCAAAGTTGAAGAATGAAGAGGTGAATGCAACTCACAATGCCTCCATTAATCTCTGGCACAGAAGGCTTGGACACATGAGTGTTAAGGGGTTGCAGATTCTTGGTAAGAAGCAATTTCTCCCAGAGGTGAAAGGTACTGTTCTAGAACCTTGTGTTGACTACATCTATGGTAAACAACATAGGGTTTCCTTTCAAAATTCTCTTCCATCTAGAAAGTCCAATCCTCTAGAGTTAGTTCATACAGATGTATGTTACATGAAAGATAGGTCGTTGGGTGGAGCATTGTACTTTGTTACTTTCATTGATGACTATGCTCGAAAGGTTTGGTGTTTTTCTTTGAAATCTAAAGACCAGGTATTAGATGTGTTCAAAGACTTTCACCTTAGAGTTGAAAGAGAGACTGGCAAGAAGTTGAAGTGTGTTCGAACATATAATGGTGGTGAGTACAGGGGTCCGTTTGAGAAGTATTGCCGAGACCATGGCATTAAACTTCAGAAGAGTGTTCCGAAGACTCCGTAGTAGAATGGCGTGGCAGAAAGAATGGACAGAACTATTATCGAAAAGGTTAGGTGTATGCTCTCGAATTCAAAGCTGCCTAAATCATTTTGGGATGAAGCCATGCAAACAGCAGTTGATTTGATCAACCCATCTCCCTCAGTTCCGTTAGATGGTGATCTGCCACAATGAGTTTGGACAGGGAAAGATGTCTCATTTAGGCATTTGCGAGTTTTTGGTTGTCGTGCCTTTGTTCATATTCCCAAAGATGAAAGGTCGAAGCTTGATGGCAAATTCAAGCAGTGTGTATTCTTGGGGTATGGAAATGATGATTTTGGGTACAGACTTTGGGATCCTGTAGAGAAGAAAGTTTTCAGAAGCAGAGATGTGATCTTCTTTGAAGACCAGACCATTGATGATATGGGAAAAGACGAGATGCCAGAATCTTCACTTGAAATTTCTGTTGATTTAGATCCAGTTCCTCCACAATCAGATGATTCTCCTGAAGGGGGAGCTGAGACTTAGCAGGATGGTGAGTTTGATGATGATCCTGCTAATGAAACAGAGACACCACCGGTTTCATCACCTCCTGTTCAGCCTAGGAGGTCCACCAAAGACAAGAGACCTTCCACCAGGTACAGTGTTCATGAGTATTTGTTGCTTACTGATGGGGGAAAGCCAGAGTCGTATGAAGAGGTTCTTAGTCATGAGCAGAAAAATCAGTGGTTAGCAGCCATGCAAGATGAGATCAAATCCTTGCATGAGAATAACACGTATGACCTGGTGAAGCTGCCTAAGGGCAAGAGAGCACTCAAGAATAAATGGGTGTTTAGACTAAAAATAAGTGAGAACAGCTCACAACCGAGGTACAAAGCCAGATTGGTTGTGAAGGGATTCAATCAGAGAAAGGGCGTAGACTTTGATGAGATATTCTCTCCTGTTGTAAAGATGTCTCCGATCCGAGTTATGCTTGGGATAGCAGCCAGCTTGAATCTTGAGATTGAACAGCTTGATGTGAAGACAGCCTTCCTGCATGGTGATTTGGAAGAAGAGATTTACATGGAGCAACCAGATGGGTTCCAGGAGAAGGGGAAAGAAAAGCTTGTATGTCGTCTCAACAAAAGCTTGTATGGGTTGAACCAAGCTCCGAGGCAATGGTACAAGAAGTTTGATGCCTTTATGATAGGGCAGGGATACCAAAGGACTACAGCTGATCATTGTGCGTTTGTAAAGAAATTCTCTGATGGTGATTTTATAATTCTTTTGCTTTATGTCGATGACATGTTGATTGTTGGTCATGATACTGCAAAGATTGTTAGGTTGAAAAAGGAGTTGAATAAATCCTTTGCGATGAAGGATTTGGGTCCGGCTAGACAGATCCTTGGGATGAAGATTTCTCGTGACAGACAGAATAGGAAGCTTTGGGTATCTCAAGAGAAGTATATCGAGAAGGTTCTTGATAGATTTAACATGAGCGATGCTAAGAAAGTCTCGACTCCACTTGCAGGTCATTTTAAGCTAAGCAAAACACAATGTCCTAAAAGTGAGAAAGATAAGGAAGAGATGAAAAAGGTTCCTTATGCTTCGGCAGTTGGCAGCCTAATGTATGCGATGGTTTGCACAAGGCCAGACATAGCTCATGCAGTTGGGGTTGTTAGTCGGTTTCTCTCCAATCCTGGTAAGGAGCATTGGAATGTTGTGAAATAGATTCTCAGGTATCTTAGGGGTACTTCCAGATTGAGTCTTTGCTTTGGCAATGGGAAGACCATGTTAGATGGATATACAGATGTTGATATGGCGGGTGACCTGGATGGTCAGAAGTCTACTACAGTTACTTGATGACTTATGGAGGGGAGCGGTTTCATGGCGAGTAGATTGCGAAATGTGTTGCTTTGTCTACTACGGAGGCAGAGTTTATCGCAGCTACTGAATCTTGTAAGGAAGCACTTTGGTTGCAGAAGTTTCTACAAGAGCTTGGCATGAAGCAAGAGAAGTATGTGGTGTATTGTGATAGTCAGAGCGCTATTCACTTAGCGAAAAATTTCACATTTCATTCGCGGTCAAAACATACTGATGTGAGATATCATTGGATCCGGGATGTGTTGGACTCCAAGGCGTTGTTTCTTGAGAAGATCAATACGGATGACAACGGTACCGATATGTTGACGAAGACTGTGAGTAAAAACAAGCTCCTGTTCTGCAGACAGGAAGCGGGTTTGGTTTTACCCCCCAATTGAGGTGAAGGGGGAGATTGCTGGCCCGAGTTCTCCTCAAATTGGGCCCAGCAGTGATTGAAACCAAATCAATTTAGTTTCAGGAAACAAAACCCACTCTAATTGGGTTTTTATTTTTAGGTTTTTTTGCTCTATAAAAGCAAGGCTTTGGCATATTTAGGGGTGTATTTTTCAGCCAAGAGAGAAGAAAAGTTTGGGCAGCCGTGCATTATTTTTGTACGAGAGAAAAAGAAAGAAAACTAGGGTTTAGTTTTCGGTTTAGCTCTCTTTTGGTTAGATCCTTCCAGTCCTACTTTGTGATAGGTGTGTGTGGAAGAGTATTGTTGTAATCCACCTTTGGGTGAAGTCCTGTGTATCCACCGGAAGACTGTTTTCCCATTATTGTGATAGTGGAGTTTTGACTGTTATTACAGTCTCGTGGTTTTTCCCGATTTGGGTTTCCACGTAAATTCGCGTGCCTTCTTTATTTTATCAGTTCTTGAATCAGTTGCTTGTTTGGGTGGTTGTCCTATTTGGTAGTAGGAAAGGAGATTTTCTTGGAATTCGCTTCCGTGGTGTGTTGTATTTATACCCTTTCCGCCACAACAACATTGAAGGTGACGACTTTTGATTCTTTTATTGAGGGAGTGGAACTTTTTGTCGTCCTAGTGCTTTGCCATAGTTTTGCTTTTTAAGGTCATACTAAAAACATTTAAAAAAAAATGTTATCATAATTGTGTATTCACAAGGTCATTCTGTCAAATTATTCTATTTCCTTCTAACCAGATAGCTATTATATGTGGTTCACGTCCATACAAAAGAAGAAAGAAAGGGAAAAAAGAAATAGAAAAAAAAAATTCAATTCGTATCTGGGATTGAACGGTTGATTTAAACTTTACGTGATGCAAAAATGATAAATTTTAAAACACAGCAACCTATAGACTCTTTTCGATATTCCAAGTAATGTTTATGCAGATCTCCAGTGATAATCTTAACTTCTCCATTTTGAAGTTAGATAGAAAAAACTAGCTTTTGCAAATGGGACGAAGGAGTATATATTAGTATTTGTAACATAATTTTTTATTTTATTTTTTTGGTTTTGTAACATGTCTATTCTCCCTAAAAACGTCATAGAGTGGATTAAAGGATTAAACTAATGTTAAATGCAACTAGAATAGTATGCATTAATTAATGAAAAAATTTTGAGTTGGAAATTGGGATGATGATCTCATATATTATATTCCCCTCCTACATCAGTTCGCCAAATCCTGATTGGTAGATGTAGAATCTGCGTGTCAGTGACAATGGAATCTATTATTTTAACTTTTAGTGTTGAACTTCAACAGGTAATTCACTAAGGTCCAAATTAGTGAACAAAACAATAGTAATTTACAAAATTATATGGAGTTAATTCAACTGATCAATCCCTACGCAGTTGAGCTTTGATCCCATTTCCATCCATTTCATGCAAAACTTGCCGGGCTCTCTAAGTAGTCTTGAATTTGCATTCATTTGGGAAGAAGAGAAAAAGATGAGATTTTTGAAGTATGCAGGTTTAAATTTTGGGTCTATAAATAGGTTTAACATTAATGAACTCAGTGTGCCTTCTTCTCAAATAAAAAACTTTCCTTGTTAGCATATACATTTGAACTCTCAAAAGTATGGCTTCAAGAATCTCTTTCAGGCTTCTTTCTTCTGCATTCTTAATGCTGGCTGCAATGTTGGCTTTTCAGGCAATGTCTCGGGACTTGAGTGAAGTCTCGATGATGCAAAAACACGAGCAATGGATGGTTCAATATGGACGTGTTTACAAGGATGATGCAGAGAAGGCGAGCCGTTACAACATTTTCAAGAAAAATGTAGAGTACATCGAGTCTTTCAACAAGGCCGGGACTAAGTCTTACAAGTTGGGAATCAACAAGTTTGCTGACTTGACGAATGAGGAGTTCACGTCTGCGCGCAACAAGTACAAACCACGAGAATGCAAGGGCACATTGTTTAGGTATGAAAATTTGAGTGCTGTTCCTGCTTCAATGGATTGGAGAAAGAAAGGAGCTGTTACACCAATTAAGGATCAAGGCCAATGTGGTGAGTTTAAGTCCATCCTTGGACAACTCTATAGTCACCTTGTAATGTGTTTTTGACTTTTTCTTGGTTGATAAAGTTCAACGTGGATGATTTATTTACTTGTTCATATGGAAATGCAGGTTGTTGCTGGGCATTTTCAGCAGTCGCGGCAATGGAAGGAGCCCACCAACTCAAAACTGGCAAGCTCGTCTCATTGTCTGAACAAGAGCTTGTTGATTGTGACACAAGCGGTGAAGATCAAGGATGTGATGGAGGTCTAATGGATGATGCTTTCACCTTCATTATTAACAACAAAGGGCTTACGACTGAAGCGAATTATCCCTACCAAGGTACTGATGGCACTTGCAATGCCAACAAGGAAGCCAACCATGCTGCCACCATTACGGGATTTGAAGATGTCCCAGCCAATAACGAGGCTGCACTCTTGAAGGCCGTGGCTAATCAACCAGTTTCAGTTGCCATTGATGCCAGTGGTTCCGACTTCCAATTCTACTCCAGCGGTGTTTTCACAGGTGAATGTGGGACAGACTTAGACCATGGCGTTACAGCAGTAGGTTATGGAACTAGTTCTGATGGCACCAAATATTGGTTAGTTAAGAATTCTTGGGGAACCAGTTGGGGCGATAATGGATACATCATGATGCAGAGAGGCATTGACGCTAAAGAAGGCATTTGTGGCATTGCCATGCAAGCTTCATATCCTACTGCTTAGGATCTCGCATGGTTTGGGGATTGATGCAATTCCTCATAGAGAACCGCATGTATTGTTTATACTTCTTCTCTTGTTTGTGGTTGTGTAAGGTTATCTACTGGTTTACATGTACATTCTCAGCATTAGCTGTGGATATAATCCTCTCTGTGCATGAACTTTGTAATTATTAAATGCATTGGTATTACTACAATGTATATTGATCTTCAAAGATTGCATGTCTCCATCGGTGTCTGCATGTATCCCCGGCCAAGTTAGTTCTATACTTCTATTTATGGTTTTTACTGTTCTTTTCAGCTAATAACAATTGTCTAGTGCCACAATGAGAACTGATCGATTATCATCAATGTTAGGGCAATATTAGCTTCAACCCAAACATTGATCAGCATAGTCACAAGAATTCCAAAGTTGATTACTTTTGAGAAACTTTTCTCTTATTACCATGGCTCCATACCAAGCTTTGAAGGCCAGCATTTGCTTTACCAGTTAACTGTTCAATTCAGCACTCAACAGTTTGATATTCATTCAAAACATCATATGTTCATCATCAAAGTAGTAAGAACCTGTAACATATGTTTGTATAACAGAAATGGATCCAGCTACAGATATCAAGTAATAAAAGAAAAGCAAGAATGCATCACGGCAAGAGAAAAGCGGAAAGAAAAAAAGGAACTATAGCTGAACAATTAGCAGTGCTGCATTGTCATTTTTTGGACAATTTACCAGTATATTACAGCAAATCCCGGTAAAAATAAACACCAGAGCAAAAAGAACATTGAAATCCTGTGCTCTGTGCAAAAAGTATCCTTGCTCCAACAAGGTTATCAACAGACCAGTGTCAAGTTCAACCAGACTACAATAAAGCTGATAACACTGGCCACAAAAGTTGATCCAGAGTAATTTTTAAGTGCCAAAATAAACTACTCCAACAATGCATAACCCCTGCATAAAAAGTAATCAGGCACAATTATCACAATCCTGCACCTCCCTTAGCTTTTTTGCTTCTGGTCCTCACTGCACCATCTACATTAGTTGTTAAGACACTGTCAGCTGCAGTCTTACGCTTGGAAGTTTTTTGCTTTCCTTCATCTACAACAGAAGCAGTTTTAACTTCATCAGGGATGGACATTTTAGGCTTGGTCATATCTGTAGTCTTGCCACTATCCAAAGACGGCAGGATCGCTTCAGTCTTATCTTTGACCTCTATAACTCCAGAGTTCATGTCAACATTCTCTTTGTCAGTGTCTTCAGACACCTCTTCATCTTCAGAAGCCTCTTCATCATCTTCAGAGGCATCTTCATCTAATTCTGGCTTTGAATCAGTTACATTAGCTTTGTCAGATGACTCTTCTTTAGGCCCTTTGGCAGAGTCATCAGCTCCTTCAGCAGACTCCGCATTTTCTTCCTCAATCTTACGTTGAAGAGATTCTATCACATTCATTAACTCCCTGTTTACCTGCAGAGAAGTATTTATTCAATTTAAGACTACCACCCAATAAGCAATCTAGTTGCAGTAGAATATAGTACATTAGTCAACAAAACTAGAAGGTAAATTACATCTTGCACCACATAAGAACAATAAGATTCTGCAGTACCTGTGGATCCTGAAGGAAGTCAGATATGTCATTTTTACAATGAGGGCATTTCATGATATTCTTTTGGGCCCTCAAGGTCCTTCTGCCTTCACAATTCCTCTCCCTTACAGATGATTGACCTTCAAAGGCACCTTGCAAGCATCCCTTGCAAAAGTTATGCCCGCATGGGGTAGAAACAGGAGACACCATCACTTTGCGGCAAATCAGACAACCAAATTCTGCACCAGAATGTATACTCACTTAAACAAATAAACTTAAAACTCAACCAAAAGAAATTCTTTAAAAAATCTAGAAATTTTACTCATAATAAGCCAGAAGGCCTTGCTAATTGTGAGCATACATTTTAACAGTAATAACACACAAATACCTTTCAGAAGCTTTTCCTTAACAGACAAATTCTTCTTATGCCTTACTTTCCTAATCTTAGTACCCTCATCATCACACTCATCCACATGGATTCGACTCTCTGGTGGTGCCTTCTTCCACATCCAGCAACCTTTTTCCTCCTTAACACAATTAAAATCCCCCAGAAAAATCAGTTACAGCTTCAAGCAATCAAACTGAAAAGAAAATTTAGACATTCCATAGCTTTCTTACATCATAATCCCAGGAGGGAGATCCCTTTCTTGTCGTGATATCACTAGCTTCCTTCAACTCTGGAATGGCAGGCAGAGGTCTTGGCCGATCCCCTTGAGTATCACTGCAATTATTTTACCATAAGACCAACAATGAACGGTAAGAACCATTGTAGGTATATTTTAGAGCAATGTTAAAACTTTGAGAAAATAAAAGGGAGAAAAAAGGCAAGTCGAAGACCTTGTCCATGGAGCAGGATCATTATCACAACGAACAAATAAATATCGACACATCTTAAAGCCCTGTGAAATATGAAAACAAGGGAAGTCAGATGATGGTTCACTAAATTCTCTATCAGAATATAGGCTTGTCAACTTACTTGCTTACCACCTTTGCGCCAACATTTCTCAATCCTGTACACCCCATCATATCTAACTCCTTTCTCAGGTGCATAAGAGGATCGTTTCTCCTTGTGGGATCTAGTCAGCAAAGTCAGATAAATAAATAATATAGCACAAATGTATCTGGTTTCAAGAACTATTCAATTTGTTAGATCTATTAAATGAGTGGAAAACAAGTTAAGAAACCTAAACCGAGATTCACATATTTTAATATCATAAGCTAGCAGTGATACAATTCTACTACCAGGATTTTGAAGACTAGATAAAACTTAAGGTAAGAATTCTAAAGCACTATGTTGCGTGTACACAGTACATGCAAATTTTAACTTCTCTACCCACAAACCAATAAGAAAGCACCAGGACAACCTTACCTCACAACTCGAACCGGATACCCTCTGAGACAACTGACTCGCAAGGCTTCATTCATCTTATCGAATTTCTGGTCAAAAGACTGTAACTTATTTGTCCTTTTGTTGCCACTGAGGTCTCTCCCTCCACTACCAAAAGTACAACAAAGAGAGTTATTGATAGTCAGTTGCAGCAAAAAGTTCTGTGATTGTAAAAGGGCAACTTGGTTGCATACAAATGATATTATACAAATGTGCACACACTCAAAGTAAGATAACTAGCAAGGGAAAACCAAATTCGAGCTAATTATTAACCTTCCTGTGTAGAGGAACCATTCACCATGGTCTTCATCATCTTCATAGCCTCCAGATAATGCAACAGACTGAGCACCATAATCTGACTGTCCGGCAATCCCAGCAACATGAGGAAAATGTGCACCCCACTGCCTACATTCCATCCTATCCTCCCAAGTCTCCCCAACCATTACACCTAGATTTCTTTGAGGATCATTTTCAGGCAGGATAGGTCCAAAATGGTCATGAGGAATCGTAACAAAAATCTTTCCACTACAAGCATTTGCCTTTCCTGATTTCTTTGCACGTTCAGTGACAAATGCCTTGTCTGGTCGATTTTGGTTGTGAATAAAATGGACCGGCTTGGGAGGACCCCCTGATGCATTTGAATTCATCATCTTGGCAGTTCTGATGGCAAAGACTAGTGCAGAATTAATTCTGGGTTCTTTTGCCATCTTGGATGGAATCAAATTGCGACAGTTGGCACATGTGTTCTTCCCTTGAGCAACCCATTTTTGAAAGCACTTCAAGCAAAAATTGTGACCGCATGGAGTCTGCACCAAAATAAAAGATAAACAAAAAAGAATTTGATTAGGCATTCCAGTCTTCTAGAAGATCCTTCAAGCTAAACCATTTATTCTAGCACACTAAAAAGAGGGCTCATTTTACATTAGGATCATCATGTTCAATGCAAAAATTGAATGAAGAAACAAAAAAATACTTCCTAAAGACTCAAATAATTATATTTAAGATCCGTAAATCCATATTGCCTACAACTACCAAATTTAAAAGAAAACTCAACAAAATGTCAAGCACATCAAAAAGGTGAAAAACACACGGCACTTGAAACAGCAGCCCGAAAACAATCCAAAGGTTAAGAACAGGGCTGCCTTGTTCCACTCTGTATTTAAGACAAGCTCTATCGACCCGTAATTCAAAACTTTTTCCTTTATTTGGCAGATCCATGAACCTAGAATACTTGAATAACTGTCTATTTAACAAAAGAAATAATTTCGCCGAAAAAGGTACCAACAAGGTTAAATGGAGATTCAGTCGAAATAGCAACAAAAGGAACAGGGTAAATGGTGACGAACCGTGACAGGCCTATCGGGAAGGAGCATGCAAATGGAGCAGTAAAGCTTCTTATCAAGAAGATCAAGCACATCATTCTTTCTGCTACAATCCTTCTCTTCCACGTTATCTTCCGATTTACCTCCGGCAGCCCGTCCGTCAACAAGCTGCTGTCTTCGCCGAGCCTTCTCATCTGCGGAAAGGGAATCGTCATTCTCAATCCTACGAATCGCCGCTAGCAATTCAGACTGTTGAGACCCAGAAGCAGCAGCCGCAGCCACGGCGGATACAGAGGCATCCCCGCCGCCGGCGCCGGCAACATCATCGACGACGCAATCAGGACAGTCCCATTGAGCAACATCGGACATGGTCTTCGGCCGGCGTTTCTGGGACAAGCAAGTGACGTGCCACGGCGTCACGCAAATCTTGCAAGTCAGAGTGTCCTCCGCCGGCGGCTTCTCCTTGCAAGACATGCACAACCCATCTCCGTCGCAGGGTAGGTCCATCGCACCACGCTACTCCTACTGTGTGACTGTGTTTTGATCGGAAAACTGAACAAAAAGTTCTTTTTTCCACTCCAACTAGTGAGAAAACTGATGGGTTTTTAGGGGAGAGTGGTTGGGTGGAATTGATTTGAGTTGATTGCGTTGAAAAATGGGGAGTGATTTTGATCTGATGAAAAAGGATTGGCTTTTTTGGTTTTCCGCCCCTCTTTTTCGGGCTTTCCCTCTCTCCACAGCCTCGGGGATTTAAATATTATTGTTGTTTTGTGGGAGGGTTTTAGGGGAAATGGAGGGGATTTTGGAAATTTTCAAACTTTTTGGTGAAAATTTTCCCTCGGCTGTTTGAAGTTTTTCATTTCCCTCGTGTTTTTTTTTTATAATAAAATAATACTTTTAGTAATTCGTGTGATTTTTTTTTTGAGTAAATAGAAACATATCTTTTAGGCTTTGTTTGTTTTGTTTTTTCGATAGTTTTTTCATAATAATAAAATAATAACTGTCTCATTCTAATATACTTTTATACATTTTCAATGCACTTTTTTATATTCTTAATAGAAAAAACACACACTAAAAAACGAAACAAACATACCCTTGTATTTTACGGATTATCCGACAATAATTGTGTCCCACGTTTAGTGTTAGAAACTAGAAAGATTGAATATAACGGAATTAACGTGGTACATATCTTTTGTTTGTATGTGGCTTTCTTCTTGTTTAATTTTTTGCTACATGTAGGAGTATCAATTTTGGATGGCAGTAAATAATTAAATCGCATTTCTTGCGCCATTTTTCATGGTTATTATTCATCTCATCGATGGCGTGAGTTTGAATTGAATCCAGCTACAAATAATGATGAATTTTACCGGAAGCCATGATTATTTCATTAACATATTGCAAAACTAAACCTAAAAAGAGATATGAAATGACAATGTATAATAATGTATTTTCTTTTATTTACGTCTGTATTGATATAGATGGGATTCGTAAATTGTAATTATGAAATTTAGAAAAATATAAGGGAAGCAGATCGAAGGAGCTACGTTTTTTAAATCATGATTTATGATTTACAATTTACATTATCACTTACACTCATATCAACGGACTAGATGTACACCTATGTCAAAAAAATTTTAAAAAAAAAATCATTTCAGATTCTTCATTTTTCTCCACTTTATTTTTTAGTATTTTTAGCGTTATAGAACTTATAAACGTACTGTTGTAATCTCTCCACATCATTCACTATCACAATTCACCTATCAATGTCTTCTTTGACAGTTCCATGAATTTATGGGTAAAACTTGACATTATAGCGGTGGTGGTGGAGGATCGTGTATGAGCCTCAATGTGTCCCACTCACTCCCATGACATATAAATGCATATAGTGTTTGGCTAAAATTATACTCCCTCCATTTCACAATGTAGGTCATTTTAAGTTTGGAAAAATATTTCAAAATGTAAGTCATTTTAGGATTTCAAGTCAAATTAAAGATCAATTTTCCAACATTAACCCCAATAAATAATGCTAACCACTTCTCATCTAGTTTTAGTTATAGTTCCAAAACAATTAATAAAGAGCAAAATAAATATTTAACACACAAAGTAATCATTAAATGATTGTCTCCTTAGTTTACGTGTAAGGCTAAAAAGACTTATATTTTAAAATGGAGGGAGTATGGTGAAAATTAAACTGTTAGTACTAATGGAGAATGTAATAATTTGTGTATATATATATATAAAGTATAATTAGTAAACAAAATAATAATGATTTCAGAATAAAAAGTGCGTCTAGATACCGTAATTGAGTTCAACTAAAAAAATATATTTGGATTTAGAGTAATACTAGGATACTTCTGGCCAATTGTGAGATCTGTTTTCCTGTTTGTTTCCCTCTTAATGGAGTTCAAAGTCTTTAAAAACACGAGTCTCATGTAAATATCACACAGCTAACTTTGCTCTCAAAATCACATGTCTTTCCTAATCGAAAGCTAATCAAATGCCTAATCAAAAACTAATCATAATTTCTTCTTCTTTTTTTTTTTTTTTCATATTACAAGGTGTCTACCGTAGGCAACAGTGACTAATCTCCCTCGCTCATGGTAGGCATCTCGATAGGTGGGAAAGCTGGCCAAAACATTTAAAATTTCTCCATGCTCATTACGAGGTTCGAACCATCGACCTATGGTTAACAGTGAAGGAGTCATGGCCAAAGCTAATCATAACTTCGATGTCAAAATCCCCATATCAAAATTAATCCATCATGGCACTTCGAACCTAATCAAAAGCCATCCAAAACAGTAGTGTTCATTTTAATAGCACCACAACACTACTATTTAAGGAAGAGAACTGTCTGAAGAGTATTACATATTACATTAACTATGACTGCCCATAACTACACAAAAGCTAATCAAAAGCTACCAAATAGTAGTGTTTGTTGACGAGTCATAAGTAAACCCTAACCCAAATGGGTTTAGGTCAGCTACCTTGGAGGCTAAGTCACCGCCTAAATCTATTACGACTAGGTTTAAGGAAATAGGTAAAACCACCTCTATATAAAGAGGCCGTGCCTCTCCCATAATTGATATCTTCTATCCATCTTCTACACCTTTTACACATGATACACATACTTCTCTCTCTACTCTCTCTTTATTGACTTAAGCATCGAAGAGTCTACCTTCGGGGATCTATCTTACAGGTTTTAGGCCGTCTACCGCCGCTCGTCCTAAGACACAATGCAAATCCATGCTTCGTCAAGTGGCATGCCCGATAGGACCGATTTGTTTGGTCTTCACAACCAAATAAATTTCTTAGCGAAGCACGGAATCTTTTGTATCTTTGGGCAGCCACGGTGTTAATTCGTTGCTCCGATTTTGCAACTAGAAGATCACGCAAAAAAAATTTACTTTGTTTGGCTAAGAAGACGTCAGCCGACAAGTAGTACAAAGAATCTTTCGATTGCACAAAGAATTCGATGAGCCACACTTGCTCCACAGCTGATCGAGAAGAACAGTCCCTGCAATTCAAAATCTGTCAAAAGGGGCAGAATATTCAGCCGAGAACAATTCCTCAATTAGAGAATTGCCACTTAATCCCCAATAATTTTGATTATTTGGTCCCTAAAGATTTTAAAATTTTACAGATTAGCAAGGGGCAATCTCGAAAATTGGAGTTTCGAGAGATACATCTTCTCGAAGGGGCAACCATCCCTCGAGCATCATACTATTATTCAAAGTGTTCGAGAAGATGTATCTCGACTTTTATCTACTCAACTACTACCTTCTCGGAATCGAGGTAACAACTTCTTGAATAATCAATTTATCTCGAGATCGAGGTTCTCAAACCTTGTCATTGTTATATACTTCTTGAACATAAATTCGTATATCACTGACATCATAATTCTTGCCATAAACATATTATTCATGTCATATGAAAATATCTTTTTGAGCACGATCAAAGGAGTTCTTCAAGTTACCAACCTCTTGCGGTAAAACCCTATCACCCTTTAACAAGGAAAACGTATTCGGGGGTACAAACAGGGATATACTCTAGGGGCAAGGAATTTGAGAGATCATCCTAACATTCTTTGCTTGAACTGATATTCTTGATGAGTATCTTATTACTATATGTCATTCTATTATGATTATTATTGCAATATCCTTGTCAAGTTTAATCGCAGGATCCACAAGCTCGAGCCACTCGAGTTTACTCTTCCAGAAGTCCTTATGCACCATTTTCCTTGAGAAGACCACCACCTATCGACCATTGTCCTTCCGAGGACCTCCTTCTGTCGATCATTATCTTCTCGAGAACCCTTCTCCAGTGACTACTCATCCATTCGAGGACCGTCCTCTCACGGACCATTATCTCTCATACAGACCGTCTTTTCATGGACCATTGTCCCCCCGAAGATCGTCCTTTGGAAAGACCTTCCATTGCCGACCATTGTCCTTCTGAGAACCATCCCTTATCGGCCTTTGTCTTTCTAAGGACCCCGTCATCGTCGACCCTTGTCCCCCCGAGGACCTTCTTCTTCTTCTGTAGACCATCACCTTTTTGTTCATCTTGCATGAACATCATGTTCGAAAACTGGGGCAACATTACAGAAGTTGAGAAGTCGTCAACACTCTAGCTTTGTACTTATAGCAATCCACATTCTTCTCATCAAGTCTCAAGAATGTGGCTTGCTAGGACACTTGACGAGTCATAAATAAACCTTAACCCTAATGGTTGGGTCGGCTACCTTGGAGGCTAAGTCAACGCCTAAACCTATTACGACTAGGTTTAAGGAAACAGATAACACCACCTTGCCTCTCCCATAATTAATATCTTCTATCCATCTTCTACACCTTCTACACATGATACACATACTTCTCTCTCTACTCTCTCTTTATTGACTTAAGCATTAAAGAGTCTACCCTCGGGAGCCACCCGAGGCTCTATTTTGTAGGTTTTAGGCCGTCTGTCGCCGCCTAGATCGTCGTTGCCGCCCGTCCTAAGGCATCGTACAGATCCATGCTTCGTCATTTGTGAAACACATAGGTTCATACGAGTACAACAAAAGGTACCATTACTGCAATGGTGAAGTTAGTTATATTTTTGGGCATCTACACAAGCTAAAGAGTGAAAAAGAGGGTTGGAGATCAGAGTCTTGACTGTTGATCAGAAGGAGGGAATCTTTTTTTTTTAATGCTCATTCAATATCATGAGTTAGAGTTCTTTTGACAGCAGTACCTTTCTTTTCTGCATCTTGTACACGAATATATTCTGAATTTTATGCCACTGAGGTGGGAGTGTAAACATGAGTTTGCGATTTTGTAGTACTTCCTTGTTGACTTGGTGAGCATGTGATTGTTGGGTAGGTAGCTGGAGTAATGACATGTTTTGTTGGTGTATCTTCAATCATCATACCACAGCTTTTTTGGTCTGGAGTGAATGTTGTAAGTTCAAAACCAAAAATAGTATAAATGATCTAAAGATAATACCAGCATTAACTGTGAACCAAATGCTCAAAAAAAAAAAAGCACAAGAAGGTAAGAAAAATGTATTACATGGACAGACAAGGTAGACAAAAAAGGTAATGTCCTAATGCATAACACAAAGACGGTGAGCCAGGGGAGGTGATGTCCACAATTTATGAGAACAAGGATCAGTTCAAGCCGCTTAAGATGTGGTCCCAATGGAGGGAGTCAACGACAACAACGTTCAAAACTCAAACTCGTCGCAATACTATTCTACAAATGCAGGACTAGTGTTTGTGGTT